CCGCCGCCCCCGCGGGGCGCACCCCATCTCCCAGGCCTCGCGCAGCCCATTCCCGCCCCTGGGGCCCCTGCCTTACACCCTACAAACAGTCCGCCCCCCAGGACACCCCATGTCCGCCTGGCCCCTTCAGCCATCGCACGCCTGGCCCTGGGTGCCCACACAGACGCGCCTGCTGCTTTTAGGGGCCCTGCCAGGACACCCCGGGACTAACTTATCATTATTATTATTATTTGTAATACTGTTTACATCGTCGGGAGGGATACACAGCCATGTGGGGCTCTGATCACGGTGAGCTGATCAGGAGTGGAGGAAGGCGGGGGGGACCCACGTTTCAGTCTTATTCTCCTGGAGGGAGAGGGGACCACTCGTTGCTGTCAAAACCACATCCACACCCAGGGATGGGGGACGGGCGTGTGAGGACGCCTTAGAGACCCCGACGTGGGGGAGAGTGTCCCCAGGGTGCTACCTGAGTGGTTGGGGCAGTCGTTTTGGTAGCTCCGGAGTTGAGATCTGTGTGAGGTCTGTGTGTTGACCAAGTCCACCTCCGTGCATCCACAGACCCGGCGCGTGCTGCAAAGCTTGGCCTCCAGGAGAGCGAGCCAACCTGCTCTGCTCGCCCTCCTCCTGTTGTAGCCACTTGGGGAATGAACCAGCAGGTGGAAGATCTTTGTCTCTCCTCTCTGTAACATCTGCCTTTCCAATAAAATTAGCAGCCCTGGAAACACCATGTGGTAGTGCACGTGGGAGGCCAGAGCCCAAGCCATCACCTGCTACCCCCCAGGGCGTGCAGGAGCAGGGCCCCAGGGCCAGGACTCAACCAGGCACGCTGATGCGGCTGGGATGTGGGCATCTTAGGCAGGTAGACCAATTGGCACACACTAGTTGGATATTCTTTAAAACAAAAACATGAGCCTGGCGCGATAGCGTAGTGGTTAAATTCCTCGCCCTGCATGTGCCAGGATCCCATATGGGCGCTGGTTCTATTCCCGGCTGCTCCACTTCCCATCCAGCTCCCTGCCTGTGGCCTGGGAAAGCAGTGGAGGATGGCCCAAAGCCTTGGGACCCTGCATCCGCATGGGAGACCCAGAGGAGGTTCCTGGCTGCTGGCTTTGGACTGGCTCAGCTCTGGTCATTGCAGCTGCTTGGGGGAGTGAACCAGCAGATCTTAAAAAAAAAAAAAAAAAAAACAGAAGCATAAGAGGATTGCCAGGCTGCCCAGCGTGTGTAAGGAGCTCAGACGTGGGACCCTGACGTAGCCATGACCCACGATGTAGCCAGGAGTCAGGGGCGTGTTCTGGGTCTCTCGTGTGCGTGCAGAGGGGCAAGCACTTGGACCATCCTCCACAGCTTTTGCAGGTTCATTAGCAGGGAGCTGGATGGGATGCGATGCAGCCGGGACTTGAACCTGCGCTGGGTAGGGAATGCAGGTGCTCCATGACCCTGCTGTGCCACACCCCTTCACCTCTCTCCCTCCAAAATTCATCCATTTAATTTCCATCCCCATCCGGATAGAACAGGTGATTGGTGGGTGGGGGTCCCTGCCAGGCGCCCCAGCTGGGCCTTGCTGGAGGGGATACAGCCTCATCCCGTGCCCACCAGCCTGCAGACTTGAGCTGAGCAGCCTGGGTCCTGAGGTGGCCAGTCTGTGGAGGTGCAGCACCTCTCCCGTGCGGCCCTCGGCGGCGGCTGCATCCGTGCGTCCTCTGCTGCTGCGCCCACGGGGTGGCGCCGTCTCCGCACCGCAAGCGCCCCGCCGCCCCGTTGAAGCCGGAGCCGCGAGCTGCTGCTGCGGAAGTCGGTGCAGGACCCCGGGGGCGCAGCGCCTAGCAGACTACACCCACCTGGTGCACCGGGAGCAGGGGACCCTTCCACCCACCCGCTCGCCTGGCCACAGACTCCATCAGCACGTGGCCGTGCTGGGCTCACAGGCCAGGCCCTGTGACTGGCTCACGCTATCAGACACCAGTAGGGTTGGAGAAAGGGGCTCTCCAGAGTGGGCCGAGCAGGGAGTGAAGGGTGCACGGCTGAGAAGCAGGTGTAGGCATGATCCACACTCAAGAGGAGGGCTTGAGCAAAGGGTGGTTGCCAGTGTAGATGAGGTTAGGGGGAAGGACCCATGGGCAGGATCGGGGCTTGGGTGTGGAAGGGTGTTGATGGCCTGTGGGAAGCACAAGTGTGTGTGTGTGTGGTCAAGTGGCATGGGGAAGAGGAGCTAAGGGGCTGGGAGCGTTTTGAGAGGGACAAACAGATGAGGGACAGGTGCATGGTGTGAGATGGTGAGAGGATTCAGTGAAATAAACAGATGGGGTGACCGAGTGAGTGGATCATGATGGAGCTGGTGGCATGGGGGCTGAGCGGAGGGAGGGGGGAGAAAGGACAGGGAAATGGACAGATGAGTAGGTGGGAGGGATGGGAAGAAGGAGGAAGGGAGAAGGACAGAGGACAGGATGGATGGGTGGGTGGATGGGTGGGTGGATGGATGGGTGGGTGGATGGGTGAGTGGAGACAGCCTCTCTCCCAGGTCCAGCCTCAGCTTCAGTTTTCCCTCCCTTCTCCGGTGCAGGCACTCTGGACCCACAACTGGCCTGGGGTGCATCGAGGACACCAACAGTTGGCACCTGGCCGAGCAGCAGGTGAAGCAGTTGCTATCAGTCTGGTGCGATGGCTTAGTGGCTGAATCCTTGACTTGCAAGCATCATGATCCCATATGGACACAGGTTCAAGTCCCGACTGTTCCATTTCCCATCCCAGGCTTGTGGCCTGGGAAAGCAGTGAAGGACGGCCCAAATCCCTGGGACCCTGCACCCACGTAGGAGACCTGGAAGGAGCTCCTGGCTCCTGGCCTCAGATCAGCTCAGCTCAGGTTGTTGCAGCCCCTTGGGCTCTGCAAATCGGCTTTTCCAATAAAAATAAATGAAGGAAGGAAAGAAGACAGGAAGGTGTGCATATTGCAGTTCCGGGGCACGTGCGCCCAGCCCTGTGCTGGCAGCTGTGAGGGGAACAGGGTGAGCCTGGCATGCCGGCCCCGCATGTCTTGGCTGTACCCTCAGTGGGCGCCTGCCGGAGTCCAGCTCCAGCTGAGTTCGGAACTCGCGAAGGGTGCATGGATGAGGCGCAAAGAAAGAAAGAGACGGACCACTAGAAACTCTTCATCATCATAATGGACCACGCACAAAAGCTGTCCGCTTTATTTATACAAAATCAGTCAAACTCTGGCTCAGACTTTTTACGTCATGGTCAAGTGGGTGTTTCCAAAGATGACTCTGCCATTTGTTTCATCTAAGGCTAGAATGTTAACCAACTGGTGCCTGGCTAGGAAAAGGTTTTCAACAGATGATGCATATCAGTCAGTAGCACATTCCTACCACAATTGGTCTTGAGATAGTCAAGGGAGGAAGGGGCCTAAAAGATCAAAGAAGAAGGAAAGAATAGATTCCACTACACCTGAAGGCAGAACTCCCTTGATTAGCATAGGATCAAAAGGGGGGTTAGCACCCTTGGTTAGCATATCGCCACAGGATGCAGCCCTAACAGCGATAATAGCTCTTTGGCTAAAAACGGCACTAGCAACATTAGCTTCTAAGTTCCTATTGACGTTTAACAGTAACTCCGCAGAGGCAGGCAATGCCTAAATAGATTACAGAATTCTCAGTGGGGTTGTCTGGTGTCCATGCAAAGGGAGGCAGAGCCGCATTCAGGTGTTGTAGAGACATCCGCCAGGCCTTGCCACACAGCGGGAAGTTCCCTGCAACCTTGCCTGCGAAGGAACTATACTCTTCACACCCTCCTGTCTTCCACACCCATCACGCGGACCCCAACAGGCGCCTTCTGTATACCAGGGCACTGTGGTCTTCAGGGACCCGATGGGTGTGTGCTGTGCTGAGCTCCCCCGTTGCAAAGTCCAGGTGCAGGGCTGCTGGCTGCGGCTGGAGCACCTGGGACAAGCCAGACGTGCGCCCACTGTAATAAGGCAACTCCCTCCAGCGGCCGCAGCCTGCAGCACTCCACCGCAGGCCCCATCACCTGCACCCCCACACACTGACTGTGTATGACCCGTGACATGCCCAGGGGAGGACAGTGCGGCCTGCTTACCGTCTCCTTGCCTCACGGGCCCTCCCTTGACCTTGAATCTCCTGTGTTGCCCGAATCCTCCTGCCTTGTCACCCCCACCCAGCTCAACCCTCACTGACTTCTCCTGTGCCCCCGCCCCCTTGTACATGAGGGGAAAAGACTAAAGTGTTTTATAACTTTTTAAAAATTATTGAAACATATATTGCCTTCTGTCTTCTTTTTCCTCTTTAAAAAAAAAGATTTATTTATTTTTATTGCAAAGTCAAATATAGAGAGAGGAAGAGACAGAGAGGAAGATCTTCTGTCTGATGATTCACTCCCCAAGCGAGCGCAACGGCCGGAGCTGAGTCGATCTGAAACTAGGAGCCAGGAGCTCTTCCGGGTCTCCCATGCAGGTGCAGGGTCCCAAGGCTTTGGGCCGTCCTCCACTGCTTTCCCAGGCCACAGGCAGGGAGCTGGATGGGAAGTGGAGCTGCAAGGATTAGAACTGGTGCCCATATGGGATCCCGGTGCGTTCAAGGCGAGGACTTCAGCTGCTAGGCCACTGCGCTAGGCCCGGAACCCAGCATCTTTCAACATTACACACAGAAGGTGGAGTTCCATGTGACTGGAGGGGGTGCCCGGACTCCCAGGGGCGTGTCCCCCCAGCAGGTGTGTGGAACGGAGGTGGCTGGGTGGAGACTAGCATCTCGGGCTCGGGGTTCAAGGTCAGCTGCCACAGGGCTGGGGCAGACCCAGGCAGGTTAACCGGGTGATGCCCCCCACCCCACACACAGTCACAGGTCACCATGGCAACACAAGCGGGCACCTGCAGAGCACCCAGCTTCGACCTGCCCCCCCACACTAGGGGGGCTCCGTGCTATCTCCCCAATGCTGCAGCTGCAGCCCAGTCCCCACCGACGGCCAGGAAAGGACTTGAGACGGCGCGTGGGGGAGCGCGGACAGGGTAGTGTTTATTCCGAAGGGCCACCCGGGGTTTCGGACACCGATGGCTTCCAGGCACTGGTCTCCCCCGCGGGGTTCCCCACGCAGCCTCGTCCAGCCCACACCCCCTCCTCCAGGGCTAGGAGACGCTGGGGGGCAGGCGCGCGGCCGCTGTCTTCTCCACCACGAAGCCATAGTTGTACTGGTGAGGTGGGAAGGAAGATGGAGAGTCAGCTGTTGGGGGAAGGGTTGGCCCAGGAACTTGGGGCACCAAGGGACTCCCAGCTTTGGAGGAGAACGGGGGTGGCCTGACGGGGGTGGCGGGGAACAGCGTGTCCTCATGTAGGCCCATTCCCCCCCACCCCAGCACCCACCTCCTCTTCGATGTCGGCCAGCGACTTGATGGTCAGGTCTGCAAAGGCCGACAGCACCTGGCGGAGAGCATGGGGCTCAGCCCGGGCCCTCCCAGCCTCCTCATCCCCGGGGTGGAGGGCCTGTACCCCACCCAAGTCTTGGTCCCACCTGCCGGCCAGCCCATCCCCCTGCTCCAGGAGACGCCCCCTTCTCCCTCAGGCGCACCACAGCCCCCAGCTCCCCCCTGCCCACCTCGCTGCTCGCCCCCCATCCCATCGCCTTGGTTCCCACCCCAGGCTCCCTCTCGCCACGTGAGACTCACCAGGGGGCCACAGCCCTTGCCTTCAAACCGGGGGTGCAGGGTGAAAGGCACCCCATCCATAGCTGGGGAGAAAAAAAAAGGTGGGGAGGCAGGGGTTGGGCGATCTGAGTCCCGCACACAAGCTTTCAGTGGCCGCACCCGGTGCACCCGCCTGCGGCACCTGGATGGGGCTCCCGGCTCTGCCGCTTGGGAAAGCGCACCCCCTTCTCAGAGCCGGGGGCCACCTGAGCCCCTCGCCCACGCCACTCCTCACCGGAGATGCCGTACAGGCTGGAGGCCTCGTAGATGGAGTCGTTCCTGCGCAGGGTGGACGCGCGCGAGCCCAGCCGCGACAGGGCGCGCTCAGGGCCCTTGCTGGAGGAGTGGAAGTGGGGGGACAGGTCACCCCGGTGAAGCGCAGCCCACTCCCCTCGGGCCACGCCCCCTCGCAGCCCCCCAGGACTCACCTGGGCTGGCTGGGTGCGTCCAGCGACAGGCCCTGCAGGTCCCGGCTGAGACCCCGGGGCTTGGGCACCGGCTTGGGCACCTTGACTTTCCGGCACCAAATAGCAAAGCCGCCCATATCCCTGCAGCGGGAGTGAGGAAGGACTGAGACGTGGCCGGCCAGGGGCAGGGAGGGACTGAGGGGCACTGGGCCTGGGGGGCTGCAAGCCGGTGCTGGCCCCCCTCCCCTGCCCCCAGGGAGGACGCGGGGCGGGCTGGGGAGAGGTCACCCTACCCGACCCGCAGGTAGCCAGGCACCGTCTTGGTCTTCCCACTCAGCCGCACGTCCACCACGGCCGTGTCCGCGGCCCCCAGTGGCACCAGCTTCATGCACATGCGCTTCTTCTTGGAAACGGAGGCCTCTGGGGGTGCGGGGCAGCACGGGAAGGGGGCAGGGGGTAAGAGAGGGAAGTGGGGCGGGCAGATGGGCAGGTGGGCACGCGGAGCAGCGGTCACAGCACAGAAGGGACGGGCAGAGGAGGGGATCACAGCAGGTAGGGTCACGAAGCAGCCCCCTCCCACACCATGGGGACAGGGCTGACTGTGGGCACACACACTTCCTGCCCCCAGGAAGGGTACATGCCGTGGAAACGCCCACCCCCACCCCCATCCCCAGCCTTGAATCGCAGCTAAGTCAGGCCCGGGCATGATTTCAACAAACTTTAAATACGTTGACACCATCTGGCAGGCAAAGCCAAAACTATGCCGTGGCCAGCTCCTAGCCCTGCACCCTCAGCCACTCGGGAGAGCCACACGGTGGAATGACGGGCGGGGAGCGATGGAGGGGAGCAAGGGCAGGGAGGATGGCACCCGGAGCGGGGAGTGGACGCCTGGGAGAAGACGTGAGACACAAAGGAGCTGCGACAGGGAAGGCAGAGATGGAAAAAAAAAAAGGCGGGCGCTCCAGGCGGAAGATGCAGCGAGGGCAGAGGCCTGGAAACGGAAGAGAGAACTGGGACGGGGTGCTGCTGGGGGCCCCCCACCTCAGCCGCCAGAGGGACCAGGAAGGGGGGCTCTGGGGCTACCGTGACCCAGTGTCCCGGAGAGGGGCAGGGGAGCGCAGGGCAGGCGCAGAGGAAGGGGAGGGTTGCACAGGGCAGGGCATTAGAGGGGAGGGTTGGGGCAGGGAAGGAGAGGGGAGAGCAGAGCAGGGAGGGGAGGGCAGAGCAGGGCAGGGAAGGGGAGGGGAGGGTTGGGGCAGGGCCTGGCAGGTGCAGGACAGATGAGAGTGTAGGGCAGCGCAGGTGCAGGGGAGGGGCAGATGTAGGGCGGAGCAGGTGAAGGGGCCTGGCTGAACAGATGAGGGCCGGGCAGGTGAAGGGGGACAGGCAGGTGCAGGGCCGGGCAGGTGGAGGGCCCGGCAGGTGGAGGGCCGGGCAGGTGCAGGGGAATGACGGGCAGGTGGAGGGCCGGGCAGGTGCAGGGGGACAGGCAGGTGCAGGGCCGGGCAGGTGGAGGGCCCGGCAGGTGCAGGGCAGGGCAGGTGCAGGGGGACAGGCAGGTGGAGGGCCGGGCAGGTGCAGGGCAGGGCAGGTGCAGGGGGATGACGGGCAGGTGCAGGGCAGGGCAGGTGCAGGGCCGGGCAGGTGGAAGGCCGGGCAGGTGGAAGGCCGGGCAGGTGCAGGGGGAGCTCCCGGGCCCAGCCCCGCCCCACCCCGCCCCCCAAGGCTCACTAGAATCCTGGGGGTCGCTGACCGGGGAGAAGCCCGGGGGCACGGAGCTCTTGTCCACCACGATCTGAATGTCCACCACCACGTTGTCCTGTGGGTTCTGCGGAGAGACGGGACACCCCGGCGAGGCTCGGCGGCCGCACCCCCACACGGCCCAGACCCGCGGTGACCCCCCAACGCCGAGCGCCGCTCACCTCCAAGCTGCCCAGGGCGCAGAGGCACAGGAAGTAGCCCGACTTCTGCGCGAAGCTCTTGCCGAAGCTGGCGGGGGTGCCCTCCACGGTGCAGGAGATCTGGGGGCAGCAGACGGGTCAGCCGGGCCGCGGGCCCCCCAGCCCCGAGCGCCCCGACACCGCGTGCAGCCCCCCGACACCGCGTGCAGCCCCCCGCGCACGCCCCGCTCACCGCGCTGAAGCCCCGCGGCGGCGGCGCCGAGGCCGACGACCAGGCCAGGCCGGCCAGCGGCGCCGCGTCGGGCGCAGGCCCCGGCTCCATCCTCCCGGCCCTCGGAGGAAGGCGGGACGCCGCCTCCCCCGCAGCCGGACTACAACTCCCAGAAGGCGCCGCGACGACGACGGACGCCTCCCCGCGTCGCTCCAGAGCGCATGCCCGGAGCGACGACTGACCAATCGCGTGCAGACGTTGAGCCACGTCAGCTTCAGTCGCTCACTGAGCGACGTTTGCGGAAGAAGGTCTGGCAATGTATCACCACCGAGCCACTTCCGCCAGTAAGGGAAGCATCCGGACTACACGGGGGGACTACATTACCCAGAACCCCTTGCAGCACCAGAGCCGGTACCTGGGGAACTAACTCCCCATTCTTGTTATGGAAGTGACCCCCAAAGAAAGCCAGGGCCCGGTGACCCCCAAAGAAAGCCAGGGCCCAGTGACCCCCAAAGAAAGCCAGGGCCCGGCGCGACGGTTCGGCGGGGAAATCCTCGTCCTGCAAGCGCCGGATTCCCATGTCGGTGAAGGTTCAAGTCCCGGCTGCCCCACTTTCCATCCAGCTCCCTGCTGGAAGATCCTTCTCTCCTTCTCTCTGTAAATTTGCCTTTCCATAAGTAAATAAATCTTAAAAAAAAAAAAAAAGACGAGCACTGCAATATTCCACCAGTGGCTTTCTCTTGTTTTAATATTTGTTTATTTTTTATTGCAAAGTCACTTGAGGAGGACAGATAGAGAGGAAGATCTAGCAACTGGTTCATTCCCCAAGTGAGCGCAACAGCCACGGCTGAGCCGATCCAAAGCCAGGAGCCAGGAGCCTCTTCCAGGTTTCCCACACCACTGCAGGGTCCCCAGGCTTTGGGCTGTTCTCCACTGCTTTCCCAGGCCACAGGCAGGGAGCTGGATGGGAAGTGGAACAGCCGGGATTAGAACCTGTGCCCCTATGGGATCCTGGCATGTGCAAGGCGAGGAATTAGCCACTAGGCTACAGCGCTGGGCCCAAGATCCATGCTTAATCCAGCGTGAGGGAAAGGAGTCAAGTGCATACAATGTCGGCCCCTTTCTCAAAATCTATTCTGAGAAAAACAGCTGTCTGGCGGATGTGGCGCGTGTGAGTTCAGGCGCAGGTCGCTGCAGCGAGGCCCACGGGTTCATGGTCAGGAAACAGCTGTGGTGAGAATCTGCGCCGGGGAGCCGTGGGGTGGCACATGGCCCGACCACAGCGTCTGCTGCTCTGCAGTGACGTGCCAGCTCCGCTCTCACACCCTGCCCGCAGAACCTCGCTGATCCTGCCTCGTTTTTAAAGATTTATTTGCTTTTCCTGATCAACTATGTAAACATCATAAAAAAGTAAAGTTAAAAAAAGATTTATTTGTTTTTATTGGAAAGGCAGATTAGATTTACATGGAGAAGGAAAGACAAAGATTTGCACTCCCCAAGTGACCGCAACGGCCAGAGCTGAGCCGATTCCCAAGCCAGGAGCCAGGAGCCTCTTCGTCTGGGTCTCCCGTGCCGGTGCAGGGTCCCCAGGCTGTGGGCCGTCCTCGGCTGCTTTCCCAGGCCACAGGCAGGGAGCTGGATGGGAAGTGGAGCAGCCGGGATTAGAACCAGCGCTGTATGGGATCCTAGCGCCTTTAAGGCGAGTATTTGAGTCGCTATACCACCACGCCAGGCCTGCCTTGCCTCTCATTTGTAATAATACTTTGTGGTGAATGTAACATTGTTTTAGCAGTCAAGTGGATATAACAAAAGACACACGCAGACATACAGAGACACACACCATGCTGGGTCCCTCCCTTAGCCCGGGGCCTCTGGGCGCGTGAGAACCGGACCAAATGCCAGAAAGGTCACGATGGGGCAGGAAGCTGGACGTTAGCGCACGTGTGTCTGAGGGGTCCAGGAATCCCCACCAGAGACCCTCACACCCCCAAGTCCTGCCGTACCCCCACTAACAGCGGCTGCTCCCAGCCTCCGATTGCAGGAATATTGTCTGGCTACCCACGCGGCGACTTCCACGGCCCGCGTCCGCGGGTGTCCTGAGGCCCGATCCTGCCCTCCCTGCCACTGAACTTGGTTCCCACAGGGCATGCTCCCCTCAATTCTTTGTTCATGTACCAAGCCCGCCATTCTCACCTGTCTGGCGCCTCATTCTGAGCTTTGCCATCCGTTCCTACTCAACCCGCTGGGACTCACCTTGCTGGGGTCCATGCAGGGGGTGTGGCGGGCAAGGTGTGAGCAGAGCCCCTCCCCTGCAGGCAAGGCCCACGTCTCTGTGACCAGCTCAAGGCAGTTCCACCCCTCTGCGTGGGCACCCGGCCCACCCCGCTCAGAGTTCCGGAATTCTTTGAGGCACTGTTTGCCCTTGCGGAGTTGGCTTTGATTAGCAATGGGAGCTCGGAAGTTGATGTTGCCCTTAACCGTCTTGCACAGTCCATGGAATCTGTCACGTTTAGGGTTTTCTTTCCTTGATCTTTGGGTTCCTTCTTTGACTCCTTTCTTCCCTTAGCTGATTGAAGTTGTAGAATGAGGCCTGTAGCAGGCATGCTTCCGATTGATACGCACTGTTAATATCCTGCCTGAAAGTGAAGCAGGTGGCAGTCTCGTTAGGGAAGCCCCCTTGGCCATGGTGTGAAGAGTCTGTGCGAATGTTTGTGGCTGCTTCTGTATAAATAGAGGACAGCCTTGGTGCATTGTCTATGATGATTATGAAATTGTAGGGGTCCGTTTCCTCACGCCTATTTCATGCACCCTTCTTTGAGCTCTGAACTCGGCTGCAGCTGGCCTCCGGCACCCTCTACCAGCCCAGGCGCCCACCTCTGACCCAGCTTTGCAGGGACTCAGGCAGTGGATACTGGCCTGAGCCTCGGCCTTCCAGAAACTTCTGCAAGTCCCCAGAGGAGTGCAGTGAAAATTTTTTTTTTTCCTTTTTGGCAGGGGATGTGGGCAGTTTGCAGGAAAGCCTCTTTGGTTGGACACCAGGCAGCACCTGGCTGTCCCTGGACTGTGTTGGCAAGGCCACACTGCCCCCACTTCCTGGCTGTCAGTTAGATCTCAAGGGGACGCAGGGGTGGGAGGTGAGCCGGGGGAGGGAGGGGGAAAAGGCCTGGAACAGGTGCCCCGGGAGGCTTTGCCCCCACTGCCCTCTGGCCCAGTTAGACAAACATTGGAATTGACGGACTCAGGGGCTTCCCAAGAATCACAGGAAAGAAACACGCAACATCCTTCCGGCTGCCTCGCGCAGGAACCCACCCACTTCCCAAAGGAAGCCCCTCCACCAGGGCTCTCCCAGCCCCCCACGGCCCAGGGCACAGCCCTCTCCTAGGAGTGATTGCCCCCTGGACATCCTGGCAAGGCACTTGGGGGGACCCCCATGTCCCCCAAATCAATCCTGGTTGCGGTGAGCCTGTGTCCCCTGTGCCCTGGCAAGTGGCCCGCCTGTCCCATGCGCCCTGGCCGTGGGGGCCCCTGGCAGGTGCTCCCTGCTGTCCTGTGCGCCCTGGCCGTGGGGGCCCCTGGCAGGCGCTCCCTGCTGTCCTGTGCGCCCTGGCACACACGTTGAGCACCTACTGGATACCCTCGCCCTGACCTACAGCTTCTCTCCCTCTTGGAGCCGCTGGTCTGCTCAGCTCCTCCCGCGTTCAACTGGAGGACCAACAGGCTTGAGGAGCGAAGTCCACTCCTTGGTGGCTTTCATGCCCTGCAGGCCACCTAGGGAACTGCAGTCTGGGTCACCAGCGGAGTCCATGCAAATGACCCTCGGTCCCCTTCTTGCAGTCTTCGGGGTGGAGGGGTAGTCGCTAGATGAACCTCTGTGGCTTTGCCATGGTACCCCTGAGCACCGCCCCCCACCCCCATCCCCCCCAAAATAATAAGATCCCGGCTTCTGGAGTCAGATCCAGGTCTGCCCCACCCCCCAGCCAAGCGGGCAGCCTGTTCCCCCAGCGAGGGGCTGGACCCGGGGCAGTGGCCTCTGCCTCTTCAGTTGTAATCCAGCAGAGCTGCAGGGCGCAGGGCGGGCAGCAGGCATTCAGACATGAGAGCAGAGAAGCAGGGGCAGGAGCGTGGGAGGGCCCCGGGGCCCAGGCAGACAAGTCCCACCTCCCACCCCCCAAGGACAGCTGCCTGGAAGACCCAACTCCACTCTGGCCCGGGAAATCGAAACTACAGGACCAGTGCTGGCTGATGGCCACGACGGAGTGTTTCTCCTGCCAGTCAGGAACTTCCTGCAGGTTCTGATTGGTCAGAAAGTCTGTGTATGCATGTGGTGAAGGCGGCCCCCAGGAGAGTCCAGCAGCCTGACCTCACCTGGTGCATCTGAGAGGTGCGTCCTGCATGGCACCCACGTTTTACCACTCGTGGCCTGAGTTCGTGGACATGAAGGAGGAGGAGGAGGAGGAGGCGTGCTGGGGCCGGCGGGTGCTGCTGCTGTTAGTGCTGGCCTTGCTGCTGGTGGCCATCTCTCTGGCCGTGGCTGTGGGCATCTTCGCCAACAAGGCCAACAGCAAGGCCTGTCTGGAAGGGCTGAAAGCAGAGCAGCAGTGTCGCAATGCCACCAGCCTCCTGGAGCACCAGCTCAACGGGATCCAGCACAGGCTGCTGTCCTCGGAGAACCAGGCCAGCACCTGTAACCACACTGTGGTGAGCCACCCGCCATGATGTCTGGGGGCAGGGGACTTGAAACTGTTCCCGCCAAGGGGAGGACTTGAACCCGCCCCTCCGCGGGCCCGGACTTTCCCCCACTGTCCCCCTGGCCAGTTTGGGGAACTTCTGTTGACTGCCCTGTTGAGTCAGCAGGTGCGGGGCTTGAAGCGCTCAAGGGTGGGGTTCACGGGGCGGGGGGCTGGGGATCCCCAATAGGACTGGGAGGAGACACACTCCAGCTCTCGGTGCAGGGACCTTAATGCTCCACCGACACCTGTCTGGGGGGTGAGGTGGTGTGGTGATGGGGGATCCCTAGGAGGAGTTAGATGGGGACTGGAACAGGTCCTGGGTTGAGGGGGCGGACCTAGAAACTTCCATGGCATTACTAACATGGACGGGAGGAAGTCCCACCCCCACACCCCACCCCAAGTCTGGGACGCCTCTTCAGATCTTCAGCGGGTTGCAAAAGTCCTTTTTCTTTTCAGATTTATTTAAAAGATTAGAATCACAGAGAGAGAAGGGGGGACAGAAAGATTTGCATCCACTGGTTCACTCCCCAAGGGGCAGCAACGGCCAGAGCTGAGCCGGCTGATCCAAAGCCAGGAGCCAGGAGCTTCTTTCAGGTCTCCCACGCGGGTGCAGGGTCCCCAGGCCACAAGCAGGGAGCTGGAAGGGAAGTAGGGCTGCCAGGACACAAGCCAGCGCCCATATGGGATGCAGGTGGAGGATTAGCGTGCTACGCCATAAGGCTGGCTCCAATCTGGAAGTTTCTACCAGGATTTGGGCATAGAGAGCCTCTGGATCCCCCACATGGAGGCAGTGGGGGCCCCGAAGCTCCTCTTTTGGGAATTTCACATTGGTCGGTGGCCTTTCTCCTGGGCTGGACGCCGAGGGACGAGAGCTTTCATGAGGACGTGGTGCGGGGTGTTGGGAATAAGTCCCAGCTCTGGCTCCTGGCCCCAGCCCTCTGGATGTGCACCCCGGAAGTGCCTGTAAGGGACCAGGGCGGGGACCGTGATGTCTGACTGTGCTCACTGCCAGGTGAAGTTGACCAAATCCTTGGAAATGGCGAAGGCCGAAACCCTGAGCCAGCAAACGCGGATACAGGAGCTTCAAAGTAAGAAACGGGGAGGGGGCACCCCAGGACTGCAGGGAGGAGGAGGCAGGGTGGGAAGGGGCTGCTGTGGGGGCAGGGCATGGCCCCCCCAAAGTGCGGTCTGAGAAAAGAGGTGGCCACGTGAAGACACACACGCCCCGCTCTGTCCCCCCAACCTCCAGGAGAGAATGAGGCATTGAAGAAGAAGCTACAAGATGCTCGGATGGAGGTGGAGCAACTAAGGTAGGGAACCCCACACTAACCCCAAGATCCCTAGCCCCCAAACCCTTACCTGCCCTGGTGCCCCTTACCCTGGTGCCAGCGATGGAAGGCCTGGTCCCACAGTCAACCGTTCTGTGGGCAGAGGGGGCCTGGCTGCTGCCTTGTTTTCAGCAGGATTGGGGTGGGGTATGCAGGGGGTTGGGGTGCAGAGGGGCCCAGGAGCCGGCACCCCGCTGTCCCCCACAGCTGGCCCCCTCTCTGCTGCAGGGGACAGGCTAGCGCCCACTCGACCGGGTCCAGAGTGTCGGACCAAGTCGTGGAGAAGTTTGCGCTGCTGGGTCTGTGCTGGGCGGCAATGACACTGTACTTCTGAGACCCGGGGGCTGCAGGTGAGCAGGGGGTCCCCAAGGTGACGGAAGGAGGGGGCGTGGTCTGGTGGGAGGCGGGGGGTTGGGAGGAGCTTGTGGGGGTGGGGCCGTTCCGTACACCTGCTTTCTTCAAGTCCGTCTTACTTTTTTCAGCCTTAACACCTGGCCGGCTCCAACGTTGCCTGGAAGTGACACGGCTGGAGGCGACCTCAGGGGCAGAAAGGGCACAAGCGGCAGGGAGGGAGGGTAAAGGGAGAAGCGGGGGGGGGGGGTCTGCGGAGGAGTCATGAAGTAGTCTGGGATGGGCGACGTGGGAGCCAGAGGGGACAGGATACTGCCTCCCCACCCCCACCCCAGAGCTGGAGTGAGTTCCGGGCTTGGACGGGGTAGGGGGCCGGGCACCCACTCTCTACCATCATGGTGTTTGAGGGGGTCACTTTGCTCTGGAATCTTCCAGCTTTAACAAATAAAGGCCTTACTCTCAAGTTCCCAGGCTGTTTTTTTTTCACTGTAAAAGATTTATTGGGGCCAGTGCATTGGCTCAATTGGCTAATCCTGCACCTGTAAATGCTGGCAAGCCATAAAGGACGCTGGTTCATGTCCCAGCAACCCCACTTCCCATCCAGTGCCCTGCTTGTGGCCTAGGACAGCCCACAGCCTTGGGACCCTGCACCCGCGTGGGAGACCTGGAAGAAGCTCTTGGCTCCTGGCTTCAGATTGGCTCAGCTCTGGCTGTTGTGGCCACTTGGGGAGTGAACCAGTGGATGGAAGATCTTTCTGTTTCTCCTTCTCTCTGTAAATCTGCATTAGCAGGGAGCTGGATTGGAAGTGGAGCAGCTGGGACTCAAACCCGTGCCCATACAGGATGCCAGTGTGGCAGATGGAGTCTTAGCCCCTCTGAGGGTCTTTGTGTGGCCCTGGCCCCTTGGGGCTCCCCTGTGCACCCAGGATGGACCACTCTGCACTGTTCCTAGCCATGTAGGCTCCTCCCCACCCCTAGCCCCTTGGAGAGTCCCTCCTTCTGGCACCTCCCCCGCCAGGATCCCCTAGAAAGCTGAGGCTGGGGTGCAGGTGGGGGGCCCAGTAGCCTGGTATCCTGTGAGGTTTTGTCTCCTGCAGTCCAGCTGAGTTAGGGCTCAGCTCAAACCCGGGACCTGCAGACACACGCCAGCCGGCCTGACCCTCACAGTCCGTCCTTGTTCCCCTGCGCCACCCACGCCCAGGAGCCCCTTCTCCAACGGCACCCCCTCCCTGCGCACTTTCCCCCACTGGAATGTCCTCCTCCCAGGCTTGTTGGAATCCAACTATTATTGTCCAGTTTCCTGACCCCGGGGCTAGTGCAAACACAGGGGACCTGGGGCCCATAAAAGGAGGGGAGCGATAAGACCCCTCCTTCCACAGGGGGCTGCACACGTGAGCCCTTCCTGCCACAGCCTGCTCCCTCCTCACCCACCCCCGCTCAGCCCTCTGCACACCCACCTCGCTGCCCAAGGCCTTTTGTCCACGCTCAGCCCACCTGCCACCACGAGCAGCGTTCCTCCAGTGCAGCCCCCGCCCTTGGGCTCAGGGTAGGAACCCCCGTGCACCTCGGAATATTGGAATATCAAGCACACAGACGTTGCGTTGTGACCACGCACCAACCAGTGCCTGGGGACGTCTCTGCGAGTCCCCTCCCTTGGAGCTGTTGAGGATGTCCCCTCCTCAGGGCAGGCTTGCCTCGGTCCTCCTGGCTTCTTGGGGTGCCCATCTGGCTGGAAACGGATGTTGGTCATCTTCAGCTCTGCCTAGACCAAGGTCAAGGGTCCTCCAGGCACCTACACTGCCCCTGGCGGCGGGCACACCATGGCCCCGTTCCACTGCCAGGCAAGCTCCCAGTATCCAGTTAAGAGAGCGACCTCTGGTGGCTGGAAGTGGCACCCCACACTCAGCCGCCTGAAGCCCCCCCCCACACACACACACCCACAACCCCCAACCCTCCGACTATAAACCTCTTGCTGAGGCAGAGCTGCCCAGTGGGTGACCCTGACCTGCAAACTCCCTTGTCGAAGCCCCAGGATAAACTCGTCCCCGCATTCTCCTCTTCCCTCCTTCCAAGGGTCCTTTCAGTGGACTTGGATGCAAAGATGTGTCCCACCCAGGGTTTGGGGGCTCAGTTGTTCTCCAGAGGGCCAGGCCAGCTCTGCGTCCACCCAGCCCCCTCTCTGCCACACCTCAGGGATCAAACCTTGACTGTGTGAGGCAGCAGGTGAACACCCTCCTGGTAAACCATCATCCTATTCAGGAGAGAGCACCCAGTTCAAGTCCCGGCTGCCCCGCTTCCCATCCAGCTCCCTGCCTGTGGCCTGGGAAAGCAGTGGAGGACGGCCCAGAGTCTGGGGACCCTGCACCCGCGTGGGAGACCCGGAAGAGGCCTCTGAAAGAATGAGCCAGCAGGTAGAAAATCTTTCATTTCCCTTTCTCTGTAACTCTCTTTCCAATACATAAAAATGTTTTTAGAAATATTATTTTATTTATTTTAGAGAGAGAGAGCAGAGAAAGCTGTCCCATCTGCTAGTTCATTCCCCAAATGTCCACAACTGACATGGTTGGACCAAACGCAGCCAGAAGCTCCATCCGGGTCTCCCATGCGGGTGCAGGGCCCCAAAACTTAGGCCGTCCTCTGCTGCTTTCCCAGGTGTATAAGCAGGGAGCCGGATCCGAAGAGGAGCAGCCAGGACATGAACCGGTGCCCATATGGGATGCTGGTGCTTGAAGGTGGAGGATGAGCCTGTTGAGCCATGGCTAGCCCTCCTTACTGCCTTTGCCACCGTTCAATTGCCCAAGAGAACGCAGTATCACTCACCCATCAGGGTGTTGGGGGTCTTCTCCCACTGGAGTTCCAGTTGCCCAAGACCCAGAGTTAACTATTACACCTGCCGGCAACCGCCAGGACAATAGGCTTGGGTGTGCTAGCCGCGGTCCAGCCGGGCGAGACGCACTGCATGCCAGCTGCCTGAACTGGTTTTCGCCTTCCTGGAAAGCCATGTCGCAAGGTCATTGTCTTAGTGGGGTCGTGACGTGGGGTCTAGACAGCCCGGCCCCTGTGGCTTTGGGTGGAAGTGTAGGGCAGTGGCCGAAAAGCACAACCGTAAGTCATTCGTCTGGACGTTCCACATCGTTGCTGCCAAGCCCGCGGATAGCTCTGATGCCTTCGCCTAGTGCCGCACGGTCCCCCAGCACCCACAGTCCCTAATCCTTAACCTGGCTTACAGGGAGCAGATCACCACACACCGGACGCTGGGGTCGCTCTTGGCTCCCGCGTCTCGCTGTGCGACAGTCGTAGTTTTGTTGTGAGCTGGTGTGTGCAGCTGGTGGGCAGTACAGACCAATCAGGGGTCTGCTGACCGTGCCCCTCCCAGCTTCCCCCTGTGAAGGACATTCACCAGGGCAAGACCACAGCTGACAGGCACAATGAGATCCCATGGGGGCACTGGTTCAAGTCCCGGCTGCTCCACTTCCCATCCAGCTCCCTGCCTGTGGCCTGGGAAAGCAGTGGAGGACGGCCCAAAGCCTTAGGACCCTGCACCTGCGTGGGAGACCCGGAGGAGGCTCCGGGCTCCTGGCTTTGGATCAGCTCAGCTCCGGCCGTTGCGGCTGCTTGGGGAGTGAATCATCGGATGGAGGGTCTTTCTTGCTGTCTCTCCTGTTTGTGTATCTAACATATATACATAGAAAGGAATGCAATTCAACTCACAGGCGACCTCTCACAGGAATCTCCACAGGCCGGAAGAGAATGAGCGACATTCCAGATTCCAAAAGCAAAACATTGTCGGTCCAGGATAACGTACCCAGGAAACTCTCCTTTGTCTTTGAAAAAGAAATAGAATTCTTCTACAGCAAAGGAAAGTTCAAAGAATATGCCTCTTCCAAACCTGCCCTCCCAATGATCCTTAAAGATGCTCTCTTGCCGGAGAAGCGGAATAGCACCAGCGAGGCAAATGTGAAGAGCATCCCAGTGGAATAACAAGAAGATTAAATCAATGAAGCATGCATTGCTGGAATGGCGGGACAACTTACCACCCGATCGTATTAACCCTGAATGTAAATGACTTCAACTAATCAAACACAATAGATTAGTAGACTGGATTTTAAAAAAAACAAGACATTTATTTTTTGCTTACAGGAGACACATCTCACCAACAAAGATCAGCGGAAACTGCATCTCAAGGGTTTTGATTTTTTTTTTGTTAGTTTCATCTCTTTAAAACACTTTCTCATTAAATTCTTCACTGACTCATAGATCATACAGTAGCATCATTTTCTTCAAGAAGGTTCTTGATTTTCTTTTTCATTTCTTCAGCGACACGTTAGTCACTCAGTAGCATGTTATTTAACTTCACGGCATTGTAAATTTCTATTTTTCTTTCTGTTGTTGATTTTGCATTGTGGCTTTTCATTTAAGGGGATGTGTAGTAACTGTGTCATGGAGACTGTCATATCCAGATGTGAGGATACAATGCAGAGTGCAGCTCTACGTCCAGACAGAGATGGACTTACAATGAAACTGCTTACTATATCTTGACAACAGGATGCTGGACCCTCTGCCATTGTGCATGCCCGCAGTGATGGACATATGACTGTGTATAAAGAACTATAGTATAGTAACAATATAGTGGACCTCAGTGTGGGGGGGGAGAGGGGGTTGGGGAGGGGGGAGGGGAAATCTAGGGTCTATGGAACTATATGATAAATTGATAATAATACTATGTAAAATTTTACAGAGAACAGCGCACGGGTAGGAAGTATTAAGGAAGGGGTGGCTGGAGAGTGGGGACTTGGGAAACAATGGGGCGAGGAGGGAGGGGTGGGTTCTGAATGTGCCCAGTGTCCAGAGCGGGTGTGGAGCGGCTCGCTAAGCCCTTCGCGTGGTGTGGTCGCCCTCTGGTGGCCCCGGGGACAAACGGACCAGGATGCGCGGGCTTGTCCTACCGCCCCTTGGCTGGCTGAGTGGCCAAGGTCTCTGCGTCCACTAAATGGGTCCAATCAAACCCAGCTCCTCCGCGGCTGCAGCGACGCCTCCCACTCAGCCCTGAGGCCACCGCTGTCCCCTACACAGAATGGGGAAACTGAGGCAGGCAGGGCTAGAACCCAGGACCCACACATCCTGCTCTCTCCCCAGTGCCCCTGGAGCGGACCCAACCCCCCTAAACACCACACGCACACACACACACACCCTCTTCTCCACCAGCCACAGCCCCAAGGGGCGGGACCGTGGGTGTCCCTGGAGTCCCCAAGGTGCCAATTAAAGGCTGGTGGCCCGTCTGGGGGCCCAGAGCTGCGGGCGGACGGCGGGCCAAGGCCGAGCCGGGGCCGGAGCCCGGGCGCGCGTGGCGGCTGCTCGCCCTGTGCGGGGCGGCCGTGTTCCTGGCGGCGGCCGCGGCCGGGGGAGCGCTGGTGGCCTGGAACCTGGCCGCCTCGGCCGCCCGGGGGGCTCCTTGCCCCGAAGCAGAGGTGCACAACGCCACGGTACCACCGCCAACTCCACCCAGGGTGCCCGAGGCCGAGGTGCGGGAGCTGCAGCGCAGGCTGGCCGAGGCGGCCGAGCGCGCAGAGAGCCTGAGCGCACAGCTGGTGCGCGCGGAGCGCGGCCGTCGGGGGCTGCAGCAGGCGCTGAAGACCTGCGAGAACCAGCAGGTAGGGGGCCACGGCGGGGGTCGGGGGGGGGAACAGGCGTGGCACCTGCCCATGTCGCAGGATTCCCAGCTCTCCAACTGAGAGCCGCCAGCAGCATCCTGACTCTCATCCCGTGCTAGGCCAGTTCACCTTGCAGTCTGCCTCCTGATCAGAGGGGGTCCCTGAGGGGGGAGAAGCTACCCGCCACATCAACCCGGGGGAGCCCCAAGGGTAACCTGGACCCTGTGCCCGCTCCGGCCCCTCCCCCAGCCGCCTTCGCCCCGGCCAGCAGCCCTGTGCGGACAAGGGACAGTCCTGTCACCTGTAATTAGAAAGCTAAAGTTGGCCTGGGGAGACAGGCAGCGAGCGGAGGGAGGTGCCAGCTAGGCCTGCCCTCTTCCTCCGGATTCTCTTAACCTCTTCTAGTCCCCAACCTCAAAGAGCGGCCACCCTCAGATCCCAACCACCTGCATGTGCTGAGTGACTGCTGTATACTTCTCCCTGCCCAGGAGAGCTTTTTTCTGAAAAACATTCTGTTGGGAAACGGCTGTTTCTTTCCTTTGGAAGGGAGAGAGAGAACTACTCAAATGCAGCTCCCCGAAGGCCATCACACCCAGGCCCAGGCCCAGGAGCATGAGCTGGGAGTGGGATGGGAAGTGGGGCGACCAGGACTTGAACCGGGCACCCTGCTGTGAGGATAGCGCTGGCATCCTGAGCTGCACCACAGCAGCTGCCCAGGGACTCCTGTGACCTCCCAGGGGCCTGGGACAAGCCGGGTGACACGCACCCGCTCTGGGTTCAAGCTCTGCCTCTTCCCCTTGAGGCCCTGCCACATTCTGAGAGAGTCGGACCTGCTTTCTCATAGAATCCTAGGCAGAGCTCAGCCCCACCCACCCCAGAAACCCAGGTGGCTCCTGTGGGTTTGAACCCCCTGCGGTGAGGGATTTTGCCCCTGCTAGTGCTGGCTTGAAGTGGTGCTGGGAGTGTCGAATAGTTGGTCGAGGGCAAGAGACCTCCTCCTGCAGGTGTGGGGGTCAGAGCCTCCAGTTCCCCAAAGGCTGGTGGAAAGCTGGCACGAGCTTCGGAGCACTCAAGGCCGAATTTGCCCACCCCGCAGGGCGGGATCCATTCACACCGTCCTTTGGCCTCCTTCACTGCAGGACCGGCTCCAGACCCAACTCACCACCCTCAAGCTGGAGATGGATGAGGCTAAGGCGCAAGGCACCCAGATGGGGGTCGAGAACGGAGCGCTGGCAGGTGTGTTGTTGCAGTGGGTAGGGAGGGAGGAGGCAAGACGGTGGCTAGATATGCAAATAGCACAGGTGCACCTGCCGAGGAAGCCAGGTACATCCTCGCGCGGCTTGGACGCAGGCATGCATTGAAACAAGCTAACAGTCCATGGGGGTAGGTGAACTTGGGGTCTCCTTCCCGACCTCACTCCCACCCCACGCCTGCGCCCACAGAAGCCCTGGCGCGCTGGGAGGCGGCGGCCACTGAGTCCGCTCGGCTGCTGGAGGAGGCGCAGCGGCAAGTGGGCAGCGCTGTGGCCCAGAGCGAAGCCTGCGCGGCCCGGGAGGTGACGCTGCGGGAACGCGTGTGAGTGAGGGGCGCACCCGGCGGGGTGAGCCAAGGGGCAGAGGTACTGGGAGGTGGGGTGACCTGGAGGGTGAGGACTGAGGCGGGGCCGCGTGGGCTGCACGCCTGCGTCCCTGGGGTTGGACGCAGGTGCGAATTCCCAGGAAGGGTGGGGAGCTGGAGTGAAGGCTATGCAGGGGAGGATGGGTGGGGGTTTCTAGAAGAAGGGGTCCTGGGAATGGCTATGGCTGAAGCTGGGGCACTCCAAGGAGTGGGAGGCCCTGGGCATGAGAGGACGCTCAGACGTGAGGAACCTTCGGGAATGGAAGCCTTAGAAGGGCGCCCAGGTGCTGACCGCGACCCCTCTCCTTTTCCTCCCTGCCCCGCCCCCAGCCACTTCCTGGAGGTCCAGCTCGGTGGTCCCCAGCGCAAAGGCCCGCGCCCCGGAACGCGCTCCAGCACCCGGGTCCGTCCCGGCTCACGCCCTCGCTCTAGGACTCGACCCTGCCGACGCCCCTTGCACCTGGTCAGCGCCAGTGAGCCCCCCGCAGCATGGTAGCTTGGGGACGCACGGCGGGAACCGCCCAGGACGCACGGATCCTGAACGGGAGCTGCACAGGAAGACGCCTGGGCGTGATCGGCTCTCCATCCACTCACCCTCAAACACACACACACACACACACACACACACACACACACACACACAAGGACTGCGGACTCGGGAGGGGTCAGGGGGCCTTTTCGAGCCTCAGTTTACCCGGTCTATACAGTGGGTGCCTGGGATGCTATTTTGGAAGAATTGGTGTTTTTTTAACAGCAGACAGGGAGGAAGATGAGGCCAGAGGGAAACTTGAGACTCAGGGAGTTCGGGGTGCAGGGCGGATGTTCACAAAAAGAACCCCAAGAGATACGTCTGTAATCCAGCCCGACCAGGAGGGCTCCGTCCCCGGTGCTGGGGTTATTTCCAAGGCGGTGAATGTCGTGCTCCCATCCTGAGGGATGCAACGAAACAACGCGTGCGCTCCTTGAACAGCAGCCAGCCCAGCAGAGTCCCCGCGAGGCAGTTAAGATGTCTGAGGAGCAGCAGCCCGCACGGCGCGGCAAGAAAAAGATGTTAAGAGGCACGGATAGAATGCGGGCGAGCGCCTCAAGCGGACGAAAGTGCACGTCCCTGACAAATCAGCCTTTCTTAGTGTTCAGTACGCGTTATTTTCAGTTGCCTGTTACTTTTTTTTTTTTTTTTTGGATAATACTAGTATGTTTTCCATATTGTTACCTTCATGTTTAAAGGGGGTATTAAGGGAGAAGGCCCACCCAATTTCCCACCCTCCCAAGTCCCGGGTGTAGGGCATGCTCTGAGGTTCTTGCTCGAGTGGTTTTGATATTGCAACAGTTATGAATCGCTGTCAATCTTGCCACTCCAAGCACTATGAGGTCTTTGAAAAATCCACTGATTGACATAGTCCATCATAGCTGAGATGGTTGGTTGACCTGTTCTGTCTTCTCTTTTTTCTTCGTTAGGGTTCTGAGTCCAGCATTTAGATTAGGAAGATCTCCAAAGAAACTTCTTGTATGTGCTAACAAGTACAGGGCCAGGCACCGTCCATCGCTCCAATCAGCTGGTGGTTGTAATTGCTGGGTTGGTTCTGTTTTCACTCCCGACTTCCACTGGAACCAATGGGTGTTGCGGTCCAGCCTGGTTCTGCCCCACACATATTTGGTCCTCACCTAAACCAGTAGGAGCTGCAGCCTAGTTGGAGCGACCCACAATAACCCCCACCAGGACCGCCCCTACCCTGGTTTGCCAGTAAGTGTAGCAGTAATCCAGTCTGTCCCACACCCCATTCCACCCCAGCCACTGTTTAGTTTTATGTCCTCCCGTGGAAGTGGTAACCCAAGAGGGATGAGCCCACTATTGCCCTCCCAGGCCTCTCCCACTCCCAGATTCCAGTTACTGCTGCCCAACCAAACCTCGCCCACTTTAATTCTGTTTGCACCAGTAGGAATACTCAGCCCAGCCCAGCTTTTCCCTGATCTAGTCCACATGAGGCACGCAGGTGTGGTAGCTCTGCCTAGTCTGGTCTGCCCCCATCCCAGCCCATGCCCTCCTGCGGAAGTAGCTATCCTGCAAAGGAACCCTCCCTTATTCCCCTGCTGGCTCTGCCTACTTCCTTTCTTGTTCTCAGGCTGGTTGGACGCTGCGGTCCCCCCTGGTACAGGCAACCTCACCTCGGCATTCCATATTGTGCACTAGTCTTTGTTGCGACCGAACCTGGGTCAACCCACACTGGTGCCTGGATTTGCCAGTGGATGACGTGGACAGATTAAGCCTGGTCTTGCCCCCACGTCTGCCAAGTGTATGCCAGTGGGTAGCTTTCCATGGCCTTTTCTGGGCTGTTTCCTATCATGTTTCTTGCGCTGACCTGTCGGGTCTGTGTCCTGCCAGAGGAGTTGCCCAGGCTCCTCCATCAGAACCTCTCCCAATGCCAGGTTACACGCTTACCAGTGGGTCCATGAGCCAACCCTACTCAGTCCACCTCCTGTCATAGCAGGAACTGTGGCTTTTCCTGACTGGCCTTCCACCCAATCTGGTTGTTGCTGTTGGATGTTCCAGCCCAGCCATGGTTTGTCCATACCTACGTATGGCTCACACATGGCTCAGTAGGGGTTTGAGACCTTGCCTAGTCTATCACACATCTGCCCTGGTCCTCCAGAACACCAGGGGGAGTCGGGGTCCAGCCCGGTTCGGTGCATCCAATCCCAGTCCACACTTGTGCCAAGGGAGACTACAACTGTATCCAGATCAGAACGCAGCCCCCCTTCCAGGCCACGCGCCTCTTTGTGGGAACCTCAGCCCAGCTAGGGTTGTCCCCTTTGCTCCCCAACCGAGTCTGTTCCCAGCCATAGATCACTCGCATGCCAGTGGTTGCTCTGACTCAGCTTGGCACAGCTCCTCACCTGTCCCGACCTCTGCTTTAGACGCTGTGGCTTAGCGTCCCTGGCTCATGCAGACCAGTAGGTGCAAGAGCCTAGCTCGCCATGACCTGTGCCCCAGCCTGATTCTGTTCTTGCTGGTGAGCTAAGGTTTGCTCGACCCTGCCCGGTCCACCCCCTTCCCAAACCAACCCGCACATCAGCCAGCCACTGGAGCTACCTTGTCCAGCTTGCCCGACCCCGGGCCTGGACCATGCTACCTTGTCCAGCTTGCCCGACCCCGGGCCTGGACCATGTGGTCATCAGTGAGTGTTGTGACCCACCGGGGAGTTTCCCAAGTTCCCCCACTTGACCCACTCCCGACTCAGATCTCATACATGCGGCGGGTGTTAGGCCAGTGCCCGGCAGTCTGCCCTTGCCTTTGGCCTTATATGAGCTGGCGAACGGTGCAGCCGGCCCACCCCACACCCTGTTTTAGGATGCACATTCGGGTGCTGCTGCCTTGACCAGCCCAGGCTGTTGTTGGTTCCTTTACCTGTGAGTGATGGCAGGCTCCTTGGTCACTGCTAGCTCAGCCCATCAGCACCCCAACTCTTGAGCTAACCAGCGGGACTTGTATTTCCACGGGGTTTGGCCCACACTTCCCCCACAGAATCTACCCAGCCGTAGCTTCCGCATGGACTGGCGTGAGCTGGTCAGCGTTGCTTGGCGGTAGCAAGTTCTGCACAGGACTCGCCAGTGGGCTGGGGTATCCGTCTGTCCCGTGCAGGTCACCCGGTTTGCATGTCCCAACCACCAGGTCCCAGCACCCTCGCTTACCTGCGAGGAAGTGACCTGTCGTAGGGAGTCCCTCCGGATTCATTCCTCACACAGTGGCCTCGACATGGAAGTCCCTAGGCAGGAATTCCACAGCCCAGAGACCCCAGAGCTCGCGGCCGGCAGCCCGCAGGCAGAGCTTGGCACCCGATGGCACACGGGCCGCCTGAGCCCAGCTCACCGTGTGGTCGCGGTGGCTGGAGCCAGGGCCCCAAGCGTGGAGCTGGACCCGGCCTTTCCGCTCGGGTAGAGGGCAGTGGTGTCACCCGCTGCCACTCCCCCTGCTTGGCGATTCCAACGCTTAATCCCGGAGCGACTCTATACCTCCACCTTGTGGGCGGAGGCTGGCAGTGCTACGCAACACTCCACCGGGCAGAGGCAATCACAGTATTTCATATTTGAGAATGAGTTACCTTTTTTTTAAAGATTTATTTATTTTTATTAGAAAGACAGATACACAGAGAGGAGGAGAGACAGAGAGGAAGATCTTCTGTCCACTGGTTCACTCCCTAGCGGCCAAGATGGCCAGAGCTGAGCCAATCCAAAGCCAGGAGCCAGGAGCCTCTTCCAGGTCTCCCACACAGGTGCAGGGTCCCCAGGCTGTGGGCCGTCCTCCACTGCTTTCCCAGGCCACAGGCAGGAAGCTGGGTGGGAAGCAGGGCCACTGGGATTAGAACTGGCGCCCATATGGGATCCCGGTGCGTGCAAGGCAAGGACTTTAGCTGCTGAGCTTTTGCGCTAGGCCCAAACTTTTTTTTTTTTTAAAGCTTTGTTTATTTATGTGAAAGTCGCTTTGGCAAAGCGGGGGTGGGGAGGGCGTTGCACCTGCTGGCTCGCACACCCTCTGCTCCTGCCTAGAACTGGGCCAGGCCTCAGCCAGGAGCCAGGCACTCCATCTGGGTCTCTTCCACGTGGGCTGCAGGGACCCGGGGACCCCAGCCATCCCTGCTGCCTCCCAGCTGACACAACAGCAGGTCGCTGGGCTCACGGTGCGGCCGGGACTTGCAGCCCAGGCACCGGGGCGTGGGATGCGTGTAGGTCCCAGGAGATGCCTTCACTGTGTGCCCCGGCCCCAAAGAACCTTCCAGACCCCACAGAGCGTACTCCCGACACAGTTCAAGCTTTAGCCCCCTGGCCCCGGGCTGGGCTCTCGGGAGAATGAAGTCGTACACCAGCTGTCCCCACTGAGGCCACCTAACCCTCCTGGCCACCTCCCCCGTCCGCTCACCTATCCTGTGGCTTGCCCTTGCACAAGTCCTTTGGAGAGTACGGGCCAGGAGGGGAGGTGACCAAGAAAATGGGCTTCTTCTCATGCCCGGAGGGTAGGCAGCCGCCTGGCTGTCCCAGGGTGCTTGCATGACTTCCAAGGGGAAAAAAGAAGAAAGAGACATTCAACAGATAGAAGTTGTATGTCCCTGCCTTGGGCCCCATTTCCCGCGGTGGGGAAGCCCCGGACGACCCTCCCTCCAACCGCCCCCGTCGGCGATCGGGGAGGAGGAACAGTGGGTGTCTGTGGAATTCCCGGTCCACACCGCCTCTTCAAAGCGCCCCTTGTGGAAGCTGGATGTGCGGCCAAGTTCTCGGGCGCACCCACCTGGGCTCGCCAGCGGCTGAGGGAACAGGGCGAGGTGTGTGCGCGCGCGCGTGTGCGCCCCGCGCGCTGAACGGGCCCATTGATGCCCGTGAGGCCTCGGGAGGCGCAAGGCGGGGCGCCAGGCGGCGGCCACCTAGATTCTTAGAATCACAGGTTGCTTTTTTGGGATGTCCTGGTGGCTGCGGTGGCGGCGGTGGGAGGGGTGTGTGGCGGGGGGAGGCGGCACTTGCAGGACTGCAGGAGGTGCTGAGGAATGTCTGGGGAGACCCTGTGTCCCCCAAGCTGGTATCTCACTGTGGCGTATGTGTTGGGGACTGTGGGGTCAGACGCTGGACGGCCCTGTGGCCGTTCATCTCCCCCGGGTGCACGCCCCAGCGATGTGTGGGTGCCCCACATGGACGAAGTCAGCAGAGGTGAGCAAGGGGCTGCCGCCGGCGGCACAGCGCGTTGAGCCACAGACAGAAAGGCAGCATTCTGTCTCCCGGTGCTGGTTCCCAGTTCTGACCCAGCTCCCTGCCCAGGCACTTGGGACGGCACAAGTGTGTGCCGCCCTGCACCCGCGTGGGAGACCTGGAAGAGGCTCCTGGCTCCTGGCTGTGGATCGGCTCAGCTCTGGGTGTTGCGACCACTTGGGGAGTGAACCAGCAGATGGAAGATCTTACCTACTTCCTTCTCTCTGTGTATCTGACGTTCCAATCAAAATAATTAAATCTTAAAAATAAATAAATAAATCAGAATGGGCCCGGGTGCCCTAGTTATGCCACCGCCTGGGACACCTCACTCCCGGGAGTGGGGACTGTGGACGGGCAGCCCCATCCCGGGGAGTGGGGAGCCACAGCAGGTGGGTGACGATGCTGGTGGGGCGCGGGGACCGGCTAGCTTGCTCCTGGGGGGCAAAGGGGGACGCCTGCCGCCACGTGACGCTCCGTGGGTCTGCGCTGGGTGACGGAGGACACTTTCACATGCGTTCCTGGGTGGGGACGCCCCGTAGCAAAGTGGCCAGGCCACCCGCCGTCATGCCCGCCGCAGGCCTTCGGGTGGCGCGGGGTGGGGGACCGTCCTTCTGCCTGCCGTGGCCTCCCACACTCCTACACAGTGCACCCACGGTGGCAGGCCCCCTTCCGCCCCCTGACTCCCCAGGCCTGCCCCATCTGTGCCCTTCGTGCCCACCCCCCACCCCATGGGTGCTGGAGTCTGCCCTACGCTGCTGAGATTTCCCTGTTGTCCCTGCCAACGCCTTCAGGAATGTATTAAAGGGAGAGAGGGGGAAAAAAAAGTTTCCAATGCAAGCAGGCCTGTTTTATGGCGTTTCGGCCCGGGAATCCGACCACAGAGTGGAAAGGCCACCTCACTGTTGCCGAGCGGCCCTGACGGCCCTGGCCGCCCTCCTGTGTCCTCCACACAGGCGCATGTTCGACGGGATTTTTCCAGCCAAGCCCTCCATCACCACCACTGCGGCTAAGGAGCAGCAATCCGCTGGAAAAACAGATTCAGGAATCGAGCTCGGAGCTGGTGCGTTTTCAGCAGCTTATTCACTCAACAAACTCTGCTTAGGGGCCATCTGCGTGTCCACTTGAGGGCCGCGGGCTGAGGGGGACACAGCATGGGCCCTGGTCCTGCGAGGGTCTGGCTGGGTCACGGGATGCGAGTTAGAGGCCTGGGGTTGGAAGCCACTGGCCAGTCTGGGCAGGAGTGGGGACACGGAGTGAGGGGATTAAGACCCCACGCACAGAGTCCCCGGTGAGAGTGGACGCGGGAACTGTGGACGCATCTGCAGGAGGGGTGAGGTCGTGGTGCAGTGGGTGAGGCTGCACAGGCCCCATCCCACAGCACCGCTGGTTCGAGTCCCGGCTGCTCCACTTCCCAGCCGGCTCTGCGCATGCGCTCAGGTGCCTGGTGTCCCCGCCACGCACGGAGGAGGCCGACGCAGCCTGAGGCCGCTGGCTCCCGCTCGGCCCAGCCCTGCCCGGTTGTTGGGAATATTGGGGAATCAGTCGGGAAGTTCTCTTTGTCTCTCGGTCACTCTGCCTTTCAAGTAAGTTTAAAAAGAGACCCCAGACCCAAAGCAAACCAACAAAACCACATGAAAACTATGCATGCACCTCGGTATTTTGTTTAGATTTCTTTATTTTTATCGAAAAGGCAGATATAGAGAGAGGAGAGACAGAGAGAAGATCTTCCACCCAATGGTTCACTCCCCAAGTGGCCGCAATAGCTGGAGCTGAGCCACGGCAGCCGGGCAGCCGGGACTTGAGCCATGACTTGGGACTTGAACCACGACTGGGGTAAGAGAATTAGCCCATTGAGCTTTTGTGCCGGGGCCCAGGGGAGCCCTCTTAAAGTGACAGCATTTAGAGGGAAGGAGCCCCAGGTTTGCAGCAGGGGAGGTGGAGGCACAGCAGGGCCTAACGGAGCCAGAGGAAGAATTTGAGCTGATTTCTGATGTTGAAACATCCCCTGTGTGGTGCAGAGAGGAGAAAGCTCGACCAGGCAGGGCCGGGGTGGGGGGCCGCAGGAAGGAGCAGCGTGGTCCCCAAAGCTGCTGGGGCCTCAGGTGGGGAGGCTGGGAGCTTTAAGGGCCCTGGAGTGGTGGGGAAGGGGGAGAGGTCGGAGAGGGAGGGGTTGCCGCCAAGGCAGGGGGTGGAGCCAAACCATCACCTCCTCTCTTGCCCCCATCCTTGCCAAGCTTGGGGCAAAGAGATGGGGTGGGGGTGAGCAGGCGGGGGGTCCTGCGTTGGCTCTGTCCTAGACCCTCGGGGTTGAACCAAGTGGAGACACCCCACGTGCCACTGGCCGCAGTCCTGGCAGCATGCGAGGCGTGCAGAGGCCCAGGGGGCCCTTGTGGCTGCCCTGGCTGTGGCCCTGGGTGGAGGGGTGCGGCAGGATGGTTTTAAAGGTTAACATAACAAGCCACCAGCCCCACAGCCAGCCAGGGACCAACAGGCCCCATCAATCCCTCCACTCCAGGCAAGCCAGGACAGAGGCAAAATGCTGGGACCCCATAACTGCCACAGAGGTAGGCGTGTCACTGCCCTTCCGGAAGGGTGCGAGTGGGTGGGGAGCCCCTGCAGCTGCCCCAGGGAGCTCAGTGTCACTCCTTGGGGCTCCAGACTAACAGTGGTCCCCGGGGCGTTGGCTGCTCATCTCTGAATCGGGCATGGCAGGGCCAGGGCTATGCAGCCCACCCCAGGGAGTCCCTGCGACTGTCATGGCAACCCTTCCACCTTCACCCCGTGTCCGACACAGCTCACCATTGCTTTACAGACGTACGGACCAGACACCTTTTAAAATTCTAATTTCTGGGCTCAGTGCGATGGCTCACCTGGCCCACACTGGGGTCTCATACGGGCACCAGTTCGTGTCCTGGCTTATCTCCACTGCCCATCCAGTTCCCTGCGCTTCACCAGGGGATGGCCCGAGAGCTTGGGGCCCTGTCACTCATGTGGGAGACCTGGGCGAAGCTCCTGAGTCCTGGCGTGGGCTGCTGCAGCCGTCCGGGGAGTGAGCCAGCAGACGGAAGTTCTCTTGCAAATAAACTGCGAGAATTGCCAAGCAAGGAGATGGGCCGCGAGTGTGGCCCCCGCAGAAGGGCCTCCCTTCACTGGCTTTTGGCTGCCTCCCAGGCTCCACTGGACCATCACGGTCGGCTGCCCCGTGGTGGCCGGGGGACAAGACACGGTGGACGTCATTTGGTCATCGCACTGGCCTCCAAGCCGGCGGCGGCAGTGACGGAGAAAGGAAACTGCCCCCCGCCAGCGGGCTTGGAAAGAACAGGCTGGCGGCGCTGTCCCCTGCCCAGCCTGCGCGTCAGGAGGCCAGCTACGGGCCACTCGCTCAAAAGTCTGAGCGCCGCTGTGGGAAGAGGGGACCCGCTGACAATGGCTGCGGGAGAAAGGGGCTGGTGCGGCTGGGGGCGGCCTGGGGGGTACGCGACCTGCACCCCTCCACCAGTCCAGGTTTGACCTGGCATGCTTGGCTCCAGCCCCAGCCCTGCCCACAGGCGGGCTCTGTGATTGGCTCAAGGAAGATGATGGGACCTGAGCTGGGCCAATGAGAATGAGCCCTGAGACTAGGGGACTGTTCTTTTTTTTTTTTTTCTTTTGAAGTGGAGATGAGAGGGGCGGTCTTGTCACACCTGTAAGGGGCCACCTGGGCGAGGCTGTGTAGGAGGGGTTGGGCCCTGGTGGGGACCCAGCAGAGTGAAACCGGTTCAGCACAGTAGGCCAATTCTGTTTTTAAAGATTTATTTATTCTTATTGGAAAGTCATGTGTATATATATATATATCTGGAGAGAGAGAGAGAGGAGGTGAGACAGAGAGGAAGATGGCACGCCCCCCAGGTGGCCCCAATGGCTGGAGCTGAGCCAATCTGAAGCCAGGAGCCAGGAGTTTCCTCCTGGTCTCCCACACGGGTGCAGCGTCCCAAGGCTTTGGGCCGTCCTCCACTGCTTTCCCAGGCCGCAGGCAGGGAGCTGGGTGGGAAGTGGAGCTGCCAGGATTCGAACCAGCATTCACATAGGATCCCCGTGTGTTCAAGGCGAGGACTTTGGTCACTAGGCTACCGTGTCGGACTCACAGAAGGCCAGTTCTGAGGGTGCACTGATGCCAGAGGGGGGAGGCATCCCTGGGGGCCATCGGGCAAGGGGCGGGAGTGGCTGCCTAGGAAAGCAGCTGTGGACGGCCCAAAGCCTTGGGACCCTGCACCCACCTGTAGTCTCCTGCACACGCCATGGTCCAGGCACAGCGGAGGCCAGTACACCCCACTCTGATCCAGCTGTCCACTGTCTCTCAGGTGTGCACGACCGGGGTTCAGCGTGGTGGAGGAGGCTGCCACAGAACCCGTGTGACCCAGCTGTATTCAGTCAGCACGCTCAGGGCACCGTGGCTCAGCTGCAATGACGAGAGAGAGAGAGAGAGAGAGCCGGTGAGAGGACAAGTACCCCAGCCCCAGGCCCCGTCCCTGCTCTGCCCGTGGCCCTGTCCTCCCTCCCCTCGGCTCCGGCTTCACCTGCCCTGTCCCTGGTCCTCCCCCGAGGCTTTGGCTGGTGGCAGCCTCCACCTGCTCTCAGCTGTCCTTCTGTGCCCACGCTCAACGCCCCGACCCAACCCCTGCCCTGCAGCTCAGCTGCCCCCTCTCAGAGGCCGTCCACAGCGGGGCTGGAAGCCGTGGGCTCGGTCAAGTTGCCTCAGCCTCCCTGGACGCCGTGCTGGCCCCCCGCAGCCTTCGCCTCTGCGCTGGCCCGTGTCGGGGCCTGGATCCCTGCCCGCCCGCAGCCGGCAGGGTAAACACAGCTCCCTCTGCCTTCCTCACGCCGTCCATCACACGGAACAAGGGCCTCCTGTGATGGAGTCGGGGCCGGGATGGGGCAGCCGGGGCCCCAGGCCATCCCAGCTCCCTTCTGCTTACCACCTTCCCCCTAGGGAGTTTGGGGACCCATGGGGGGGCACCCCGCTTCTTGTGGATGGGCCATGGGCTCTTGAAGGGAGAGGGGAGTGACTGCTCTTTGAGCACTAAGACTTCAACCCGAGGAGAAGCGATACACCTGGCCGGGCCTCAGTCTAGCCACCTGTAAAGTGGAGCTTTCCATGGCTAACACCGGGGGAGGGTGCTGCTCTTTCTTAGGAAAAAAAAAAATTATTTTATTGCAAAGGCAGATTTACAGACAGAAAGGGGGGGGCACAGAAAGGAAGATCTTCTGTCTGCTAGTTCACTCCCCAAGTGGCTGCAACAGCCGGTACTGAGCCGATCCACAGCCAGGAGCCAGGAACCTCCTCCAGGTCTCCCACGCGCAGGTGCAGGGTCCCAAGGCTGTGTGCCGTACTGCTTTCCCAGGCCACAGGGAGGGAGCTGGGTGAGAAGTGGGGCTGCCGGGATTAGAACTGGAGCCTGTATGGGATCCAGGCACCGGCAGAGAGAGTGCTAGCCACCCTTTCTTACTTGTTAGGGCTGTTGTCACACTAACAACACGTGATGCCAGTTCCCAGAGAGACGAGAGACAGGAAGCAAATTAAATAAAACTGAAAACTCGGAGCTGATCCCAGCGGCCTCCGGTCCGGGTCGCCCGGCACCAGGGCGTTTTCCCCTGTGCCTTGCATGGCACTGGTGCTGGGGATGGGCTGGCGGAGCTCAGCGGGTTAATCCTCCACCTGAGTGCCGGTCCCCCCAGGGAGGGGAGGGGAGCAGAGGGCAGGGGTCCCCCCAGGGAGGGGAGGGGAGCAGAGGGCAGGGGTCCCCCTAGGGAGAGAAGCTCAAACTGCTTGACAAGGCAGCTTGCTCTGCAAGTCTCCCCCATGGCTGCCAGAGACAGGCAGTGTACCACTCTGCTGCCCGCCCGCCTGCCTGTGGAGCGTGTACACGTTACCAGGCAGCCCTGCTCGGGGAGGCCCTGATGAATTCCCCAGACCCGGGGCCTGCAGCTGGGCCCTGCCCAGACTCCCTGGGGCGGTGGCAGGGGTGGCTGCTGCCGCTGCTGGAGTTTTTCCCTTCTGGATTCGGCGGGGGTTGGGGAGGAGGGGGCGGGAGGCGGAGGGAGGCAGCAAGCCGGGGGCGCCCACATGTCTCCTGGCCCAGCAGGCGTCTGCCAGGAAGGGTCCCAGGGGCCGCATCACGCAGGCTCCAACATACCACCACCTCCTCCTTCCCTTCTCCAGGCCCTGCTCTGGCCTTGGCCGAGCTCCTGGAACCACTGGGCCTGGCACGGCGGGAAGAGGGGGGGGTGGGTGGCGGTGCTGGCTGGGGCACTAGCCAGAGACAGGGGCCAGGAGATGCTGGGCAAGGGACCCCCATCCCAGGACAGGAGGGTCTCGGGCCAGCAACAGCAGGCTTCCCCTGGACCTGGGGGCGCAGGCAGTAGGGGGTGCAGCCGATCCTGGCAGGCTGTGTGACCTCAGGCTATCTCGTCACCCTCTCTGAGTGAGCAGTACTTCATGTCGCCCTCGGACACCTAGGCTGCACCAGGGCTCAGAGGGGTTTGGCCATTTTGTCAGGCTAACACAGTGGGGGTCCTGGTCAGCTCTGGGACTCCGCGCCCCCCCATCCTTCCCCTGCCCCCCCCAGGCTGACTTGCCTGCAGGGCCCGGGGCTCACAGCAGCAGCATGATGGCAATTCCATGGCTAATCGCACCCCTCTGCAAGGTCCCCTGGGGTCTCCCAGGCCGGGAGTGGGGGATCCAGGAGGCGGGCGGGATGACCCCAGCTGGCCCTCCTCGCTCCACTCACCGCCCCTCCCGCCTCTCTCCAGGCCCTCGGGGACTCAAAACGGGGACACAGCTAACTCCGCCTGTCTGTGCGGTTCCCGACATGTGCCCAGGCGCCCCGCCACGTGGCCCCAGCCCCAGCCCCAGCCCCGTGCCTGGGCTGTGGCTCAGGGACCTGGCGGCCATGTGCGCCCAGCCTGGTTGCGGAAGGGCAGACGCAAGCCCCACACACAGGCCTCGCCTGCCGGGGATGCATGGATTTCCTGAGGATTGCAGCCCGGGAATTTTTTTTGGGGGGGTGGGGTGGGAGGAGAGGATGGCCCACAGGTGTGTGCCAGAGGCCAAGGCAAACAGGAGGTGAGCTCATGGTCCCCCAGACGCCCGGGCAGGGAGGGTGCCCGCCCGCCGGCCCGCCTGCCCAGCTTTGCTGGAAATGGCTGGGCCGGGCCAGCTTTTCTCACCCCTCCCCCAGCCCACCTCACCTTCTGTGCCTCTCTGGTGCCCTTCGGGAGAACTGGCCAGCTGGCAGGGCCAGGACTGCCCCCCTTGCCCCAGCCTCCCCCCACCCCCGCTTCTACCTGAGCCCCCTGGGGTCTCAATTCCTGGACAGAGCCCTGGCCCTCCGGGGTTGGCTGTCCCCTCGTTCGCCCAAAGTCCACCTGCCCCCTGCCCCCCTGCCTGGCACGGGGACCTCACAGACCCCCCACAGGTCCCCACTACCACTCTGATTTTTTTTTTCTTCCTTTGCTTCATGGCCCTCCCCACCTTGCCACCACCTCCAGGAAGCCCTCAGAGGAACGCCCTGCTTTTATAAGTCTTGGGTGGGTAGTGGCCCTCGGCCAGTTGTGCCTCAGTTTCCCTGTGTAGTGACAGGACCTGGGCGGAGAAGGCTGTGTGGCCCACTGTGGCTGGGCTGGGGGGGTCATCTGTGTGTGTGCGACTGGCAGCTCACTGGGCAGTGGCCTGGCATGACGGGACAGGTCGGCCCTGCACACGGGACACCTGATGGGGGAGGGATGCTGTCTACCCCACCCACACCCCGGGGCAGACCGCCACGCCCATTTTTTGATTAGGGAATCTCGGGGACCACAGGGGGTCTCTTTGCACCTGAACAGGTACGCTGGAGGTCCCCACCTCGACCCCGGCATTCCTCAGTCCAAGCGGGGAGGTGGGAATGTTGCGTTTGTGGGGGGCGCGCTCCGCTTGCCCCCCAGCTCCCCTGCGCCTCCCGGGACTCCATCCCCCCACCGCCTCCTAGTTCAGCCCCTCTGGGTGGGACCTTGCACCCGAGCCCAGCGCCGTCTGTTTACTTGCGGCTGGACGCTGGGCAGGGCCCCGTGGGGTGGGCCGGCCCGGCTCTCCCCGCACTCCCGCCCCATCCCCGCCCGCCGGCCCCGCCAACCGGGATAAATAGCACCGGGGCCTCGTGGGCGGCAGAGGAGGGGAACCAACGCCGTCCAGCGCGCCCCCCCGCCTCCGCCATGGCCCCCAACTCCGCCGCCTGCCTTCTCCTGCTCACCCTGGCCGCCCTGCGAGCGTCCGGCCAGGCCCAGATGCCGCTGGGTAAGACCCGGGTGGCCGAGCGCACAGGAGGCCGGCGGCGGGACCCAGCTCGGCGGGACCCAGCTCGTCGGGACCCAGCTCGGCGGGACTCAGCTCGGCCAGCCCGCTGGGGTCCAGGGCGCTCTGCCCTGGCGGCAGCCGCGAGGGGAAGGGGCGTGGGTGGTTGTGGTTGAGAGGAGAGGGGCGTCCCCAGCCCTGCCGCACCGTCAGGGTCTCCTGTGGCCGCAGGTGGAGATCTGGCTCCGCAAATGCTGCGGGAGCTACAAGAGACCAACGCTGCGCTGCAGGAAGTGCGGGAGCTCCTACGGCAGCAGGTGCGGGGCTGAAGCGAGCCAGGCAGGGGCTGCGGGGAGGGGGAGAAACCTGGGGGCTCCCCAGAACCTGCCGACCACTCTACCCTAACGCCCCCCACTCCCCTACCCGCACATGCACACACCAGGTCAAAGAAATCACCTTCCTGAAGAACACGGTGATGGAGTGCGACGCGTGCGGTGAGCGTGCGCCCTGGGGTCCCGGGGTGTGGGTGGGAGGGTCGGGGGATGGAACGGGCTCCGGGGGAGCAGAGAGGCGGAGAGGGCGTGGAGAGGCCGTGGAGCGATGATGTGGGGACGGTGGCCCCGCGCGCCCCTGGCAGGCGGCGTGTCCAGTCCAGCCCGGGCGCAGAGCGCGCGTCCCGCGTGGCATCTCCCCGCCGTGTGTGTGTGCGTGTGGCCCCGCTCCGACCCCCGGGGTCGCCCCCACAGGGATGCAGCCCGTGCACACCCCCGGTCTCGTCGTGCGCCCCCTGCCTCAGTGCGCGCCCGGCTTCTGCTTCCCCGGCGTGGAGTGCACCGAGACGCCCGGCGGCGCGCGCTGCGGACCCTGCCCCGCGGGCTTCACCGGCAACGGCTCGCACTGCACCGACGTCAACGAGGTGAGCCGGCCGCTCCCCCACCCCACCTCCACCCGGAACCCCGACCTCCCCGGCCCGGCCTCCTCCACCGGCCCCACGACCCCGTCCGACCCCGTGGGTGCTCGCCCGCCAGCACACGCCGGGGCGCACGGCCCTGGCACAGCAGCCCCGACCCCGCTGGGGACGCCCGCCCCTAGGACCCTGCCTCTTGCTGCCGCCGTCCACCCCGACGAGTCCCTGGCGCCGCCAGCGGCAGTGGCCACCCCTGCTCAGGACCCTGGGGCGGCTGGGGGGCGTCCGCCCCAAAGACCCTCCCAGCGCCGGGCACGGCCGCCTCGCCGGCCACTGCCCCCTTCCTCCGGGGACGCCCGCGCCCTAAATCGCCTCCCTCGCCCTTGAGGGAGCCTGCACCCCATGGTGGCCCGGGAGCTTCCAGACCCTGACCCGCCTCGGCGACCCCTTCCCCTTCCCCCACAGTGTAACGCCCACCCCTGCTTCCCTCGCGTGCGCTGCATCAACACCAGCCCCGGCTTCCGCTGCGAGGCCTGCCCGCCCGGCTACAGCGGCCCCGGCCACCAGGGCGTGGGGCTGGCCTTCGCCAAGACCAACAAGCAGGTGAGGGTCACCACCAGAATGCGGGGGGTGGGGGGACACGGGGAGCAGGGACGCGGGAGGGTGCGGGATCCCCCAGACCCTGGGGAAGGACACGGGGAGCAGGGACGCGGGAGGGTGCGGGATCCCCCAGACCCCCGGGAAGGACAGACAGGGAGCAGGGACGCGGGAGGGTGAGCTGTGCTGGGACCGGCTGGGTGCTGACCAGTGCTGGCCAGTGCTGACCTCGCCCCGCCCCTAGGTGTGCACCGACATTAACGAATGTGAGACGGGGGAACACAACTGTGTCCCCAACTCCGTGTGCGTCAACACCCGGGTAAGGCCTGGGGCCTGGGGCCTGGGGCCGGGAGTGCGGCCAGGTGAGCCCCCCGCGCGCTGACCACCGCACGGCCCGGCTCCCAGGGCTCCTTCCAGTGCGGGGCCTGCCTGCCCGGCTTCGTGGGCGACCAGGCGTCCGGCTGCCGGCCCCGCGCCCAGCGCTTCTGCCCGGACGGCTCGCCCAGCCCGTGCCACGAGAAGGCCGACTGCGTGCGGGAGCGCGACGGCTCCCACTCCTGCGTGGTGAGCGGGGCCTGAGAAGGGGCCGGGTCGGGGTCGGGGGTGGTGGTCAGGGGGTCGGGGGCGGGGGTCAGGGGGTCGGGGGCGGGGGTCAGGGGGTCGGGAGTCGGGGGTCGGGGGTCAGGGACGGCCACACCGCCTGGCCGGGTCAGGGTCGGGGGCCGGGTCGGGGACGGGGGTCGGGGTCGGGGGCCGGGGTCGGGGGCCGGGTCAGGGGCCGGGGGCCGGGGTCGGGGGCCGGGTCGGAGGCCGGGGCCGGGGTCGGCCGCGGGGAGGGACCCCCACTCACCCTGCGTCCCCCCAAGTGCGCCGTCGGCTGGGCGGGCAACGGGCTCCTGTGCGGCCGCGACACCGACCTGGACGGCTTCCCCGACGAGAAACTTCGCTGCCCGGAGCGCCAGTGCCGCAAGGTGGGCGGGGCGAGGGCGGGGCTGCGGCGATGGGCGGGGCCTGCCGAGGGCGGGGCGTCCCCGTGACCACGCCCCTCGTGCCCACCTGCAGGATAACTGCGTGACGGTGCCCAACTCAGGCCAGGAGGACGTGGACCGGGATGGCATCGGGGACGCCTGCGACCCGGATGCTGACGGCGACGGGGTCCCCAACGAGGGGGTGAGGGGTGAGGGGCCTGGGCGGGAGTGCTGACCCCATGACGGACAGCTCCAGGAGTGCCCTCCGCCCACCCCTCCGCCCACCCCTCTGCCCACCCAGGACAACTGCCCACTGGTGCGGAACCTGGACCAGCGTAACACAGACAGTGACAAGTGGGGCGACGCGTGTGACAACTGCAAGTCCCAGAAGAACGATGACCAAAAGGACACGGACCGGGACGGTCGGGGGGACGCCTGTGACGATGACATGGACGGGGACCGTGAGTGTGGCCGTGGAGGGGCAGGCGGCGGGGCGTGGCCAGCTGGGGGGACGGGCACCTGGGGCTGGGCACCGCGCGTGCTCCACGGGGGGACGGGCACCCGGGGCTGATGTCACCCCCTCCTTGGGGAGGATGCCTCACTCCCCCCCCCCTCCATTGCCACAGGGATCCGCAACACGGCCGACAACTGCCCCAAGGTGCCCAACTCGGACCAGAAGGACAGCGACGGGGACGGCGTAGGGGACGCTTGTGACAACTGCCCGCAGAAGAGCAACTCGGACCAGGTGAGGGCCCCCCGCTGGCTGAGACCCCCACCTCACCCCAGCCCAGCTCCTGGCATGCGTCGGGTGCTCTTGGGGGTCCCCAGAGGTGGCGAATCCCCTTGCCCTCTCTCCCCACCCCCAGAGGGACGTAGATCATGACTTCGTGGGCGACGCCTGTGACAGCGACCAAGACCAGTAAGGGGGCTGCCGGGTGCGTGCGGGGGGACATCTGGACGGCCACCTCCCCCCGTGGGGCCCCATCTCATTGGCCGCCCCATGTGTCCACCACTACAGGGACGGGGACGGCCACCAGGACTCACGGGACAACTGCCCCACGGTGCCCAACAGCGCACAGCAGGACTCCGACCGCGACAGCCAGGGCGACGCCTGTGATGAGGACGATGACAATGACGGGGTCCCCGACAGCCGGGACAACTGCAGGCTGGTGGCCAACCCGGGCCAGGAGGACTCGGACAGTAAGAGGGCATGGCCACTGCAGGCGGGGCTGGCCTGGGCGTGGCAGCAGCTTGAGTGGCAGGGATGGGACCCTGGTGGGAAGTGGCCATAGCTGGGTGCTGTCTGCAGTGGGCGTGGCCTGGCTGGGGTGGTCATCTGTCCCCTCCTCCTCTCAGGGGACGGCGTGGGCGACGCGTGCCAGGATGACTTCGACGCCGACAAGGTGGTGGACAAGATTGACGTGTGCCCCGAGAACGCCGAGGTCACGCTCACCGACTTCCGAGCCTTCCAGACGGTCGTCCTGGACCCCGAGGGCGACGCGCAGATAGACCCCAACTGGGTGGTGCTCAACCAGGTGTGAGTCGGACCCAGGCTGGCCAGGACAAGGTCAGCCCAGGAACCCCGCGGCAGGACCTCACCCTGCTAAAGCCCCTCTCCCTGCGACCCCACAGGGCATGGAGATCGTGCAGACGATGAACAGTGACCCTGGCCTGGCAGTGGGTGAGCCCCCGTGGGCATGGCCTGCTGGAGCGGGGCTGGACAGCGGTGTGACCAGCAGGGGTGGCTGGACAGGGGCGTGTCCAGCAGGGGTGGCTGGACAGGGGCGTGGCCAGCAGGGGTGGCTGGACAGGGGCGTGGCCAGCAGGGGTGGCTGGACAGGGGTGTGGCCTGACACACTGGGCCTGTACCAGGGAAGAGGCTCGGCCTGTACCGGCAGGGCTGAGTCAGGTGTAGGCCTGGGCTCATTGGGGGTGGACACGTCTCGGGGATCTGGTCCACTGGGTGAGCGGGCAGGGGGCTCAGGGCTGTCGGCGGGATGTGGCGGGATGTGGCTGGGTGGGTTCACACCTCTGTCCCCCCCACTGCCCAGGTTACACGGCCTTCAACGGTGTGGACTTTGAGGGCACGTTCCACGTGAACACAGCCACGGATGACGACTATGCCGGCTTCATCTTCGGCTACCAGGACAGCTCGAGCTTCTACGTGGTCATGTGGAAGCAGATGGAGCAGACGTACTGGCAGGCCAACCCCTTCCGGGCCGTGGCCCAGCCGGGCATCCAGCTCAAGGTGCAGGGTCGCCCCAGCCGGGGCCAGCGTTCCTGGGGCGAGCGGGGCAGAGCCGGGCAGGCCAACCCCTTCCGGGCCGTGGCCCAGCCGGGCATGGAAATGAGATGACGTGGGTGCAAAACAAAGGGTTTGGACTAGGAGGGTGTGTCCGCTGGCCCGCTCCCCAGATGGCCACATGGCTGAACCAGGAGCCCTGGGACTCCATCTGGGTCTCCCCCTTGAGGGGTCACAGGGCCCCAAGGGTTCGCGCCATCACCTCGGGGTCCCCAGCCAGGAAGCAGCAGCCGCCCCGTTGCAAACCATGGTTTAACCCGCTGCGCCCCAGCCTACACGGTCCTCCCACATCCTGTGCTCAGCCCCATTTCCCGGAAGCTCTTGGAAGTGCCCCTTTGGGGTGCCCCGGGCAGGAGGGGGACCTGCCGGGTCTCTGGTGCCCCTCCCAGCCCCCTTCTCTGGGTGACCGCAGGCGGTGAAGTCCTCCACGGGCCCCGGGGAGCAGCTTCGAAACGCGCTGTGGCACACCGGGGACACGGGGTCGCAGGTGCGGCTGCTGTGGAAAGACCCCCGCAACGTGGGCTGGAAGGACAAGACATCCTACCGCTGGTTCCTGCAACACCGGCCCCAAGTCGGCTACATCAGGTGGGGGCCCGCTGTGCTGTGTGCCGCCAGCACCCCTGGGTGCAGGGTCACAGGAGAGGGAGGGATGCCAGGGGCCAGGGGCCAGGGGCTGCACCGGGGTCTCCCGTCCTCCACCCTGGGCGCTCCAGCAGGGAGCTGGGTGGCACACCCCGACATGGGCACCCTGGACAGGCGCCCGCCGACCCCCGCTGACCGCCTCCCGCCCGCAGGGTGCGCTTCTACGAGGGCCCCGAGCTGGTGGCCGACAGCAACGTGGTGCTGGACACGACCATGCGCGGCGGCCGGCTGGGCGTCTTCTGCTTCTCGCAGGAAAACATCATCTGGGCCAACCTGCGTTACCGCTGCAACGGTGAGCGGGGCGGGGCCTCGGTGGGCGGGGCCTCCGCGATGGGCGGGGTCACCCCTGTGGGAGGTGGTGCTTGCGTGGGGGCGTGGTCACTGGGTGGGTGGGCGTGGCCTCAACAGGCCCCATCCCATCTCTCTCCCCCTCCATCTCCCTCCTTCCCTCTCCCCCTCCATCTCTCCATCTCTCTCCCCCTCCCTCCTCACTCTCCCTCTCCCCCTCCTCACTCTCCCTCTCCCCTCCCTCTCCCCCTCCTCACTCCCCCTCTTCTCTCTCTCCCCCTCCCCCTCCTCTCCCTCTCCCCCTCCTCACTCTCCCTCTCCCCCTCCTCACTCCCCATCTCCCACAGACACCATTCCCGAAGACTACGAGGTGCAGGCCCAGCGGCTGCGGCTGGCCTAGGCGGGGGCAGGACCCCACCTGTCCTGACCGGGGCTGGCGTGGGGCGGGAGACAAAGGGGGGGCTCGGAGCGGACAAAATAAAGTGTGTGCGTGGTTGGGGAAGTCTGGCCGCGGTCTGTGCTGCAGGGAGAGGGTGGGAAGCGGCCAGGAGACCCCCCCCAGGCACCTGCTGGGGCTGCCCTGCCCATCGGCGCCCCCGCCCCCTTCATCCGAGGCATGCCAGGGGGGAGAGAGGGAGAGGCAGAGACGAAAACCTCGGATTTTTATTTGTATGTTTCATTACAAAGAGTGCAAAGTACAAAGACAAAAGCGTCCCCGCCGGAGGGCAGCCCGGAGCCCCCCGCCCGCCGCCCTGCGCCTGCCCCCTCCCCACGGCGTCCGCAGCAGACCGAGCATGCTGGGGGAGGTGGGGGCGGCGGGCAGAGCTGGCCTGGGACAGCAGGGACGGAACGGGCTGGCAGATTTGCATATATCAGTGGGGCAACCCAGCCCCGAGGGGGGCAGTCTCCTGGGGAGGGTGGGGTGGGGGGCCCGGGCTGCTGAAGCCCCCTACCCCTGCTGTGGACAAGAAGTGCTTGACCCGGTGGGCTCAGTGGGCTCCCCGGAAGCCTGGCAGCTGGGGGCGGCTGCCTCGCCCTGGCACATGCTTGTGCCCCCGCCCCTCTTGGCTCTGGGGGAGGGGACGGGCAGAGGCCCCAAGGCAGGGGTGCCGGAAGCCTGGGCCACCCCGTCTGGCCGCTGCCCTTCTTCCCCCAACGCCAGGGGGAGCCCTGAAGCCTGGGGTGTGGGGAGCAGGCGCCCCCCGCTGCCCCGCCCGAGGAGCCCCAGCATGCAGGCCTTGTGTGGCGGTTGGCAGGGGATGGCACGGGCAGGTAGCCATAGCAGGGGCTGAGCCAGGAATGTTCCGGCCCCCCACTCCTCACTCTGCAGGGACCCCAGAGGCTGTGCGCTTAGAAGACAGAGGACAAGATGGGGGCCTGTGGGGTGGGGTGGGGGAGTCAAGGTGCCAGGACATGCCCTCCAGGAAAGGGGACCCCTCCATCTGCCCACGCCAGGCTCAGCAGCGGCTCCCATCAAAAACAAATGAGAGGGGTTTCTGCTCTGGGGAAGGGGGTGCTGCAGAGGGACCCCTAATACTGCCAGTCCCCCCAACTGAGCCCATCCTTGGAAAGTAGCTCGGGATGGAAGCTGGCCCGCGTGGGCACTGGGCGGAACAGTTGAAGCTGTGTTCTGCCTGCCACCCGACAGGGAGACCTCGGGGGCGCAGGGAAGTGACCCCGGGGCCTGCGCCTGCTCTGCTCCCACCTGCCCGGCATGCACAGCCCCCCCACTCTGACCCTCAAGAGCCCTGAAAGGGAGAAAGCATGAGAGACCCCATGAGACGGGGCAGGGGTTGGGGGCGAGTGGGTGGGCGTGCATCGCACGCCCGGCCTGCTATCCACAGTCAGGCCTGCCCGGGTCCCACAGCTCTGCTCTCCCAGGAACCGGGCTGTCCTCGCTAGAGGGTAAACTGAGGCAGGGCGGGCAGGCGGGGGGCCTGGGGAGAGGTGTGGGGAGTGGAGTGGGGCTTGGCGGCAGCTGGGAGCCCATGGGCAGAGCCGCGGTGGGGTGGGGGCGGTCACAGTACCCCGCGCCCTTCAGCTAGCCTGACTCAGAAATGAATTGGCAAATTCAAGAATATTCAGATGTTCAAAAACAACAACAGAAAAAAACAAAACCAAAATTGGACGATGACGACAACAACGACAGACCGACAAAACAATCCAAAGCCTGTGTGGGAACAGCCGGGGGGCCAGCCCAGGGTCGGGGGTGGGGGGCGCGAGCCCTGCTAGCTGGGGGGACACCCTGGGCTCACAGGGTCCTCCCCCCCCTGCCGCCCTGTCCCCGGAGAGGAGCCGCCCGTGAGGGCCCAGTGCACACCGCGGCACCTGTCACAGCCTCCCCAGGCACAGACGGGAAGTTCCCCAGCTCACATGTGGGCAGGTGGCATCTGTGATAAACTACACACAAGCCTAATGGTGGCCAAACTCTTCTATGTACACAAGGCTTTCTTTAAATAACAACAGTAATAATAATAACAATAATAATAATTAATAAAAAAAAACAAGTTTGTCCCCTTTCTCTGGCCTCTTCCTCTGCCATGCTAACGGGCCCTGCACAGATGGCCACTGCCCCGGGGACCGAGGCCGGTGAGCGAACGGCGTGGCTGGACAGGCCACGGGGGAGAGGATGAGACCAGGCCCACCTGCCCCCGTGACCCCTGCATTTTGGGGGACAGCTTGGGGTGGGGGTGGAGGGGAGCTGAGACCAAGAGGGCCGGGTGCCCGCAGCCACGAGGGGGTCTACCTGCCCACATTTCCACTTAGGGGCAACGTGGGGTTTCTGGACTAGAAAAAAAACAAAGCATGCTCCAGGCAAGCGCTGGCATGAGAGGGCTCAGCGGACACGCGTGTGCGTGGAAACGCAAAGTGGGAGAAATGGAACCCAAGGCAACAGGAGTTGGGGTGGGGGTGGGGAACGAAGGAGCGCCACCTCCATCCCCGGCCACCTGCCAGGCTCCCGCACCCGAGTCACGTGTGTGTCTAAGGATTGCGATCGCGGGAGGGAAAGGCCAAAACCACGACCGGATCCTTCCCTGGCCCCTGGCCGGGAGCGGGCGCAGTGCGTGTGCTGCCAGGATGCGTGCACCTGCGGGTCCCAGCGCCCCGGGGGGTGGGGAGACGGGGCACAGAGACGTGTGTATATAAGACAGCCGCCAAAATAGTGTTGCTTCGCCTCGGCGCCCGCCCGCTCGCTCTCTGGCTCTCCAGCTGACCACGCGTGGGGGGCACGGCCGGCGGCAGACAAAGAAGGCAGTGTGAGCTGAGCAAAAACAGTCGAAGACGCACCTCGGCCTGCGAGCGCCCCCCGCCCGGAGCCCACGCCCTCGGTGCCATCACGCGTGGGTCCCCCTGCGTCGGTGCACAGACGCACGCTTGCACGGATGGCTCGGCACGCGGGGTCGCGCTGCTGGGCTGCACGACCCGTGGGTAGGGACGGGGGCAGGTGGGGGGCGGGGAGGCGCGCTTGGTGGCACTGTAAGCTTGGCCGTCGGCGAGGGGTGGGGACGGAGCGCAGCCGTCCCGGGGTGGGGAAGCCCACTGACCGGCGGTGGTGGCATCGGCGACAGCGGCGCCCGCTCACAGGCGGTCCATCCGGAAGGTGTCCTCTGTGGCCGGGTCGGCCAGGACCATGTCCGGGTCATTGAGCATGTGCAGTCCGTCCAGGGTCAGGGGGTCGATCTTGAGTTCTTCCAAGGGGAACTGGCTGTCGGAGTCGAAGCTCACGTCGCCCACTCCGGCCAGGGAGCTGGTCAGTTCTTTAGAGAGGCTGGGGGGGGACTCTCCCGTCACTGGGGGGGGGACAAAGGCAGAGCTGATTGGGCGGACCCCTCCCCGCCGCTGACCCTGGCCACAAGCCCAGAGTCTGCACGGCACCCCCGGTGGCGGGGCAGAACAGCCCGGCTTACAAGGACCTGGCTCTCTCCTGGGTGGGGCGAGAGGAACCGAGCCGAGGTCAACCGTGCCCAGGGCAGGCTCCAGGTCGCCTGGGTGCTGGGCACTAGGTCCACAACGGCAGGGTGTTCTCATGCCAGCAGCCGCTGGGCACCCTGGCACGGGTGTGGCTACGGCCGGCAGCATCGGCTGGGCCGTGGCGGCGACGGAGGTGGCTGGGGAGGTGTTAGGGCCCCCTGGCAGGTGCGACCCCAGCCCCGGCCTCACCTGTGAGGATGATGTTGGGGATGCCGCTGTGGCTGGAGTAGCCGAGCTGCTGGGGGTCCGGCAGGCTCCCGTGGCTGCCCGTGAGCCCCATCATGGCGGCCTGCGAGTAGTTGAGCGTGGAGCCCGGGCTATAGAGGCCGCTTCTGCTCTCCAGCATGTTGAACTGCTCCAGCTGCAGGGGGACACGGGGGAGCCCACGCCTTGGAACTCTCCCCAGGCCCCCCACACAGCCCAGCCCCCCGCTGGCGCTCGCTGCTGCCACGTCCACGGCCAAGGAGATGCGCGGTCCACAGGGGTTGGGGGGGGAAAGACAGGCAGGACGACAAGGGAGGAGGGGTGTCCCTGGGGTGCCAGGGGACTGGGGGGGCCGAGTGAGGGCCACCTGCTCACCTGGTGGGACAGCGCATTAGCCTGCCTGGCCGCCAGCTGCTGCTCGTAGAAGGCGTCCCCAAACACGCTGCCCAGCGTGGAGGAGTGCTGCGGACGGGAAACAGGGCTGCTGGGCTCCCGCGGCTGCTGGGCTCCCGCGGCTGCTGGGCTCCCGCAGCTCGTCTTCCCCCCACCCCAAAGGCCCTGGGATAACAATTCCTGCCCACTGCCTGCTCCGGTGTGTGTACACGGGGGTGGGGGTCCCTGCACGCTGGCCTGGAGGCTGGTCCCCGTCCTCAACCTCACAGAGCCGGGTGGACCACGGACCGCCAGATGGCGCCGTTGAGCTGAGCGCGGAGCGGTGCGTGCCCTGGCATCCTGGCACCGCGTGTCCGCGGCCACCCGTGGCATCCCACACCAGCCCTGCGTCCACGCTGCAGACCCGGCTGGCGTGCCTGGCTCCCGGCATTAGCTCGGTCCACTTTCTGACACTCTGGCCGTTGCACGGAGAGAATCAGATAGAACATCTGTGTCTCTCCCTTTTGTCTCCAACTCTGCCTTTCCAATAAACACACTTTTTAACGCTCTGCTTGGGCCCTAAAACCCAACAGCTCTCAGCCTGTTCCCTGGCGGAGGAGGAGGAGGCGGGCGAGGCTGGCCGCAAGGCGGGGCTCCTTGTCCCTGTGGCCTTGGACCCACAGAGGCCCAGCATGCACCTGCTTGACTCAGATGGAAGGAGGGCTGTCCCTGGGCCCGGCTGGGATGGACAAGAGGCCAGAGTGGGTATAACGCAGGGACCTGCCTTGCACGGGGCACCCTGGCTGGAACTCAGCGTGGCCACGTGACAAAACCAGGGCTTGCAGGACACAGAGCAGGTGAGTGCTGCCCCCGACCTGCCGCCCAGC